GCAACTTGCAGGATCTCAGTTCCTTTACCAGGGACTGGACCTGGGCCATGGCAGTGGAAGCCCTGAATCCTATTCACTAGGCCACCAGGGAACTCCCAGACCTTCAGCTTCTGAGCAGGGGGCAGCTCGTCTGCACCTGTCCTGAGATCCCCACCTTCCTCCCACCCCTAATAAGCAGAATGTCCAGATACCCGGCAGCCAGAAAGTGCAGACATTCACCACAAGCTCTAATCCTCCACCAGTGACCCAAGTCTTTCCTCCTTTGGGTTCTTCACAGAGCAAGAGCAGAAAGGACCATTATAGATAAGACTAGTTACCATTATCTGTTTATCCAGTGAGAAAAATGGCTTGTCTGGGTGAAGCAGAAGAACAAAACTTTACAGAACTGATTTAATCATCGACCTCAATTTATTTGGGAGGGAAAAAAATGTTCCTGTTTGATTCCAGTCATATTGATTGGCTTCTGGCTCTGACCAGCCACTCAGAGAATGTCTCAGCGACAAGTCTGAACCAAAATTGTCTGAGTTGGGGTTCTGCCACCAACTCAGTGGTGCCAGCTCAGAGCCGCTGTGCACTGACCGAAGGGTAGTGTGCCTCTCGGGTAGGGTCCCTGGGAACAGCAGACCCTCCAGGAAGCTGAGCTCACCCTGTGAAGTGGCCTCTTCCCCACCAGCAGCCACATCTTTGAGTCTCTCATTTTTTAACCAAAAGTTTTATTTTCAGACCAAAAATGACATGATTTTTTAAAAAACTTTATTGACGTATAGTGATGTACAGTGTTGTGTTGATTTCTGCAGTACAGCAAAGTGACTCAGTTATACATATGCACAGTGTTCTTTTTCATACTCTTTTCCGTTATGGTTTATCACAGGATATTGAGTATAGTTCCCTGTGCTATACAGTAGGATTTGTTTATCCATCCTACTTATAGTAGTTGCATCTGCTAATCCCAAACGCCCAATCCTCCCCTCCCCCACCACCCCCTTTGACAGCACCAGTCTGTTCTCTGTGTCTGTGGGTCTGTTTCTGTTTTGTCAGTAAGTTCAGTTGTGGCATATTTTAGATTTCACAAATGAATGATATCATCTGGTATTTATTTTTAACTCACTTCACTTAGTATGATAATCTCTAGGTCCAGCCATGTTGCTGCAAATGGCATTATTTCATTCTTTTTGGGCTGAGTAATATGCCATTGTATATATGTACCTCAACGTGTTCATCCATCCATCTTTCAATGGACATTTAGGCTGTTTCCTTGTCTTGACTATTGTGAATAGTGTTGCTATGAGCATAGGGATGCATGTATCTTTTCAAATTATAGTTTTGTCCAGATATATGCCCAGGAGCGGGATTGCTGGATCATTTGGCAACTTTATTTTTCATTTTTTGAGGAACCTCCATACTGTTTGCCAAGTGGCTGTATCAGCTTACATTCCCACCAGCAGTGTATGAGAGTTCTATTTTCTCCATACCCTTTTCAGCATTTATTATTTGTAGACTTTTTGATATTGACCATTTTGACCAGTGTGGCACCTCATTGTGGTTTTAATTTACAATTTTCTAATAATTAGCAATATTGAGCATCTTTTCATTGTGCCTAGTGGACATTTTATGTCTTCTTTGGAAAAATGTCTGTTTAGGTATTCTGCCCATTTTTCACTTGGGTTTTTTTGTTCCTGAATTGTGTGAGCTGTTCGTATATTTTGGAAATTAAGCCCTTGTTGGTTGCATCATTTGCAAGTATTTTCTCCCAGTCTATAGGTTGTCTTTTCCTTTTGTTTATGGTTTCCTTTGCTGTGCAAAAGTTTGTAAGTTTGATTAGCTCCCATTTGTATATTTTTGTTTTTATTTCTATTGCCTTGGGAGATTGACCTAAGAAAACATTTCTGTGATTTATGTCAGAGAATGTTTTGCCCCTGTTCTCTTCTAGGAATTTTATGGTGAATGACATGATTTTTTATTTTATTTTTAATATTCATTATTTATTTGGCTGTGCCAGGTCTTAGTTGCAGCACACAGGATCTTTGATCTCCGCTGTGGCTTGCAGGATCTTTAGTTATAGTATGGGAGTTTTAGTTATGGCAGGTGAACTCTTAGGTGGGCTTGTCTGGCAGGGAATTAAGGACCCTCAGACTGAGGGTGGGCTGGAGTGCAACTGATCTGGCTCAAGGGGGATCTAGCAGGGTGAGGGGGTGCTTTCCTGCTGGGTGGGAGTACGTCTGATGAGAGTAGGGGAAACCAAGGAGCCTATGAGACCAAGGATGTCAAGGTAGGTAGCACCTGAACTGTTAGTCTATAGGGAGTTCCCTGGCGGTCCAGTGGTTAGGATTCGGTGCTTTCACTGACATGGCCCAGGTTCAATCCCTGGTTGGAGGACTGAGATCCCATCAGCTGCACACATGGCCAAATTAAATAGAAATCTTGGTCTCACCTCATAGTGGGGACCCATGGGGCATCTCACAGGAAGGCTAAGGCAGAAGGACTTGTCCTGGGACTTGGCCCTTGTCGGGCAATGTGGGGAGTGTTATCATGCGGTTGGGGTGGGCTGGTACGGTTGGGAAGCAGGGAGTTCTGTGACTGGTGTTTTAACCAGTCTTATCTCGAAGGCTGGAGGAACGAAGCCAGTCTAATGGTCTAACTGGTCAAGAAGCGGTCACTCGGCTCAGCCAGGACAAGAGGCCATGTGGTTGTTACTGAGCCCAAGCTCTTTCTGCTCACCACACGACAGGCCAGTAAATCAGGAGCTGAGTTGTTGGAACAAGGAATGGTGACTTAAATTGGAAACCTAGCAGACAGAGAGCCTTCCCAGGCTGTGCCAGTGGTATAGAACCTGCCTGCCAATGCAGGAGACATCAGAGATGAGGGTTTGATCCCTGGGTTGCAAAGATGCTGGAAGAGGGCATGGCAACCCGCTCCAGTGTTCTTGCCTTAGAGAATCCCATGGACAGAGGAGCCTGATGGGCCACGACCCCTAGGGTTGCAGTGTTGGACACAGCTGAGCGAATGAGCACATGCAGCAGACTGAGAAGACGGCAGACTGGTGTCTCAAAAGCACCATCTTCCCTCAGTGGAAATCCGGCTCCTGTTATATACGGGAGGGAGCGGGGCCCACCGCGGCACCAACCAGTGGTGAGCAGGACCACTAATGGTTGCTGGTAGACCATATTGAGTGCTCAATGTTGAGTAGCTTACTTGGGGGAGGGGCCCACTGCGGCACCAACCAATGGCTGAGCGGGGCTGCTGAGATGGCGCATGCCTGGTGGGTATTACACCCTGAGCAGGAAGGTCCAGGTCTGAAGAAGTACCAGCCAGATACCGTGGTGGCCACTCGGAGGCAGCTGAACCCACCGTTACCGGGACCTCCATCTGAGGCTGCAGGCGCCATGGGCTCAGCCCGCTGCTGGCTTCAAGGGTCAGTTCTTGACTGATGAGGTGGCCTGGGAGCTGGAGTCCCCAGCGTGCAGCTCCTGCCTGCCTGCTTATGCAGTGGGTGCGTGGGGGGTTCGGTGGGCTGGGCGTGGCCGGCCCTGTGAGGAGAGGTTCAGTGGAGCGGCCCCTGGCTTAAGGGCATGTGGCTCCTGCCAGAGAGGGAGGAGGGAAGAGCCCATCATGCCTTGGGCTGGGACTGGGGAGGCTGCTGTTACACATAGTCATGTTTGTAGTTTGGATGACATTCAGTTTTTGGCTAAGTTCAGACACGACCGGGACTGGTCTTGTTAGGTCTTGAGCCCACCACAGGGCACAGCAGCCTTGTCAGTCAGGGCTCCTGGGAAGTTACCGTCACAGGAGTGAACAGAGCTCCCCGCTGTGGGGCCAGTTCCCAGTCCAAGCTGCCTCTCTCCACTTTTGCACTCCCTTGTAGCCAAGGGTGGCTGGAGTCAACCCCAGGATGCTCATCTCGGTACCTAGAGAGAAGCGTGCCGGGAAGGAGGTCATTAGCTGGACTGTGTGTGGTTAGAGCTCCTGCTTTTGTACACGTGAGCTGTCTGGTCCTCTCACTGAGCAGACACTGCACTTCAGGCTTTGGACAGCAGACATCACACACCACAATGCAAGTGGTTGTCAGAAACAAAATGGGCTGTTGGTTCTGGTACCAGATCCTGAAGATAGAGACCTTGATTGCCAAACCCAGACCATGAAAACCACCTCAGAGTCAGGCTGGTCCATCCCTAGAGACCCCACTGACTTTTTTTTGGAGGCCCATCATGAGCTGCATACTTGACCGATGGTGTATGTGAAATTTACACTGGTGCTACAAAAAGTGTCTGCTCCAACATGAATTCTCTTCAGTTACACAAGGAGAAATTCAGGGCTTGCTTTGGTATCTGCTATTGAACTGACATTTACTCAGTTTGTTGGGCTCCCAAAGCAGGAACCTAGGGTTTCCTAACTCCAAGGAGTCCTGATTCTAGAGGCTTCTGAGGAGTGAGGTGCTTCTCTGTCACCCACCTGCCTGCTTCCCAGAAGGGGTCATCGGCTCTTACATAACTGAAGGACTTGAATTAAGTCAGCCTGGGGACTTGCCTGGAGGTCCAGTGGTTAAGAATCTGCCTCCTAAAGCAGGGGACGCAGGTTCCATCCGATCAGGGAACCAAGATCCCACATGCCACAAGGGCAACTAAGCCCACCTGCCCCAACTACCGAACCTGTGCACCTCAACTGGAGAGACGCCCCAGCGACTTAGCACACACAGCGTATTTATAAAAGACGGCCCACAGGCCTGTCAGAACATTCCTCAGCGACTAACTAAGCAGCTATCCTGCCCACCCTAGGCTCTCGGAAGCTTACCCACTCGCCCACGTTCTCTGGTGTCCTAGCAACTGGAAAGTGATCTGAGCTCCGACCAGGGCAGAGGCCATTCTCCCCCTGACCACTGTGACTTGCAGGCCCCCCAGGAGCCTGAGGACCTGTCTGTGCCACCCGAGGGTCCACTGAAAGCCACCGCTTGTCCCCACGCCTGCTCAGAAGGCCGGCCAGGGCCAGCCCATGACCCTGGCAAGATGAGCTTCTCACTCAAGTTCTCAGAGCTGGTCAACATCGCCATCCCGCAGTGCGGGGTGGTGAACTTCAAGGCCCTGCACTTCCTGCTCCATGGGATCCTGGAGCACATCCACATGGCGGAGCTTGAGAAGGACCTCTCTGGGGATGAGGACTTCCTCCAAGCCTCTGTGTCAGTCACGTTCCCACCACGGGAAGGGGACGCCCAACCCACCCTCAGCCCCCTGAAGAGGCTCGGCAACATCTTCGACCACCTGGTGAGCCGCGTGGACATGCTGGAGAGCCAGCTGGCTGCCCTGAGGGACGTGCCGTCCACCGCCCAGCTGCTGGAGAGCAGCCAGGGCACCAGGCAGCCCGCCCAGGAGCTGTGGAACCTGATCAGGCTCCGGAAGAAAGTGGAGGGCAACGAGGAGGCTGTGGCCAAGGTAAGCCGCCCAGCCTCCAGACACGGCCCTTCACCTTGACTTTCCTGCCCGGCGTTCACCCCTACCTGCCCCCCCACCCCCGATGAGAGGCCCTTCCCTTAAACAGGGGGAGGGATTCAGCTTTGGACTCAGGTGGAACCTGACTTAGCAACCTGAATGGCCAGGCTTGCATCCTTCATCAGTGTAGAGGAAAGAAGGCCACAGTGTCTGGAGGGGGCGCATGCACAGACAGAAAGCTGATGAGTGGCTGCCAGCGGCTGGAGGGAGCAGGGGTGGGAGGGACTGCCTAGTGGCTACGGGGCTTCCTTTTGGGGGTGATGACGAGGTTTTGGAACCACAAAGAACTGGCGATTACACCGCATTGTGAATGCCCTAAATGCATTCTCTGAACAATACGCTTTCAAACAGTATATTATGTGAATCTCACCTCAGTGGGAAAAAAAAATAATCGAAGACCTATAGGATCTGCAGGTGAGGAAACAGAAAGTATTAGTTGCTCAGTCATATCTGACTCTTTGCGAACCCATGGACTGTAGCCCCCAGGCTCCTCTGTCTATGGGATTCTCCAGGCAAGAATACCAGAGTGGGTTGCCATTTCCTTCTCTGGTGATCTTCCCAACCCAGGGATTAAACCCTGGTCTCCTGAATCACGGGCGGATTCTTTACCGTCTGAGCCCCCTGGGAAGCATAGGACCTCCAGGCAAGGAAACTTGCCAGCCAGAGATGCTCATGGATTGGCTGAGGGTGCAGAGCCTGTGATGGTGGAACAGGTGGTGAGCCGAGGCCTCCTGTTTCAGGACCCGCCTTGGACCACTCGCTCGCCTGCCTCCCACCCCCCCCGCCACAGTTATCCATCTGGAGCTGTAACCCTGGGGAAGAGTTGGATCCTGGGGAATAAACACCCTGGCTCCTCTCTCCTCCCTTCCTCCCATTGGTCACACAGTAGGGCCAGAAGTCAGAGCACCCCGGGGTGTAGAGGGCACAGTACCTGCTGGTCAGCTTCTGGGCGGAGGATGGATTTGCGGGGGCACCAGAGGACATCCGTCACACGGAGGGATCATTTCAGGGTGTCTTAGGTTAACACTCTTGTGTTTACATTTATTTTTATTTAAAAAATATTTTTATTTGTTTGGCAGCTCGGGTCTTGGTTACGGCATGTGGGATCTAGTCCCCTGACCCAGGGATGGAACCTGGGCCCCCTGCATAGGGAGCACAGAGTCTTAGCCACTGGACCACCAGGGAACTCCCCAACACTCCTCTTTTTTAAATTGAGGTGCAAGTCGCATAGTACATAGTGAACAACCGCGTGGCATTTTGGCTCATTGATAATGTAATACAAGCACCACCCTGTCCCCTTCTAAACTGTTTCCGTGGCTCCAAAAGGAATCCTGTGTCCTCGTCACTCCCCACCCCACCCCCCGACAAGACCCACCTGCTCTCTGGCTCTAAAGATTTACCAGGTCTGGGCATTTCGCATAAATGGAATCATACAATATGTGGCCTTTTGTGTCTGGCTTCTCTGTCTGAGCACCAGATGTCCCAGGTTCACCCACATTGTAGCCTGGGTCTGTGCTTCACCCCCTTTTATAGCTGAATAGTATTCTGTTGTAGGGACAGACAACATCGGGTTTAACCACTCACCTGTTGATGGGCATTTGGGTTGAGACTGTTTTTAAACAAAGGAGTGTATTATTTGAAGGACGCAGGGGTTTCTCAGCAGCAGCAGCAAAAAAGGAAGAAGTAGGTGGGCGGGCCTGATAGGGTGAAAGCCTTCACAGACCTGCATCTTGAATATGACTTTAACCTGTCTCAAAAAAAAAAAACCCGTCTCAGCTTCCAGCCGCCAGTCTCCAGGTTTTCTGATTATAATTTTGAGGTAAGAGAATGAGACAGCACACCTGGGGTCAAGCATCCACTCCTGGCCAGACAGGCAGGGTGGTGCCTAAGAATTAGAGCCCCTGGAGGCCTGTTCCCACTGCCTGGAGTAGCAGGCACCTCAGACGGTATCCACACACAGGGGCCACCGGGCTTTACGTCTAAGCTGAGAAAGGTGGGAGCCCCGGTGCCAGCGTTTTGGAGAGAAGTCAGAAACAGACAAGCCTAACTCCCTTCCTAGAACCCAGAGTCGCTGGGTCACGAGAAGCACAGGCCAGAGTCCACCAGCCTGACTGCTGGGGCTCACGCCCCTTCTCCTCACTTCACTTTCGCCCTGGCTCCCCGACTGGCTCCATCCCCAGGGGGAATGAGCTTGAGAATAAGAGCTCGCCCCGTGCCAGGTGAGCCGGGCGCTACATCTGTTCCTCCGTCAATCTTATTGACTCTAAGAGGCAGGTGCTGTCATTATCCTGAGCTTACAGATGAGGAAATGGAGGTGCAGAGAGGTCAGGGTTAGAAAACAGGGAGCCGAGTGGGCAAGCGGAAGGCACAGGAATGTGAACGCTGAGATGCCCCGCCACTTAGCACCCGGCAGGGGTGAGGGGCTGCCGCGGCTTCCTCCTTCCAAGATTGTTACAACAATTAGGCAAGATAAAGCGTGGGAACTGCTCAGCACAGAGCTGGCTGGCTGTCCTGGCCAAGGTGGCCTGATGAGAGGAGGGGCAAAGCGGCCCAGCGTGAACCGTAAATCCCGTGCTCAGTGAGAGCCTCTGGGCACAGAAGGCCGCACTGTGCGTGACTCTGTTCACAGGCAGTCTGCCCGGAATAGGCCAGTCCGTGGCGACAGAAAGTGGCGGTTGCCAGGGGCTGGGGGTTGAGTGCTGGTGGGAACGGGGTTTCTTTTGGGGGTGATGAAAATGTTCTGGAACACTAAACAGTGGTGATGGTCGTACACACTTGTGAATGTGCCGAATGCCGCCGAATTGTGCACTTTAGTATTGTTTTGTGTGTTTTAACATATGCGCAAAAAGCAGGGGTTGGCAGAATCAGTTAAAAGAAAGAAAGAAAAAAAACACATCATCTAACCCATATGCTGTCTCCAAGAGACACACTTTGATTCAAAGACAAACGGGTTGGAAATAAAAGGATAGAAAAAGATATTGCACACAAGTAACAGCCAGAAGAGAGCCAGAGTGACTGTGCTAACCACAGACAGATAGACCTTAAGATAAGAAGTGTTACTAGACACACAGCAGGCTGCAGTGCAGGGGTGACTGAGGGCAGGTTACGCAGGCCTCGGACCTGGATGGTGTCTGAGGTGTCAGCCCCTCCAGAGCAGCCTGCCTTGATGGATGAAGGCTTTTAGAAATCACAATTACCCAGAATGTCTCAGCCAGCTCACACAGCGGACTGGTGGACAGGTTCGGAACTGGTCATGCCGCCCTCAGAGGACTGCTTGTGCACCTAGGAATATCCCCACCACTCTTACAGAATGTCACCAAGTCCCAGCCTGGCTGAGGGTGCTGGGGTTACCACGGTGACCCATTGTCAGGGTTGCCATGGTAGCGGGTTCTAGGGCGGTGCAGGCTGCTTAGCTAAGAGTCTGCAACCTACCCCCACCATCCTCCCCACCTCCGCCTTCATCAGTCAGTCTGGCAGACCAAATGCCACCCTTTATGGGGAAAGACAAGCCTGCCAGCCCCAGCATCCATCCCAGACAGGGTGAATGGCGCCCTGGAGACTAAGGCAGGCACCGAGGGGACGTCTGGAGAGACAGCTTGGGAGGGCCTACAGGCATGGCATGAGGGTGGGTGCTCCTGGTCAGCACACTGCCGGGTTTGGGGGCTCGGGGGCGGGACAGCAGGGCCTCACTAAGCAGGCTTAGATTGCAGTTTCTAACCCTTGGCGTGGTTGACATCTGGGGCCAGAGGATTCTCTGTGGTGAAGACTGTCCCGTGCACTGAGGGACACTACGCAGCATCCTTGGCCTCCAACCACTAGAGGACAGGGGCACCCCTAAGTCATGACAACCAGAAATGTCTCCAGATTTGGCCAGATGCCCGCTGGGGGCCAGATTGCCCCATTGAGAACTGCTGAGTTAGAAAGCATGGGCTCCTGGCTCACTGCGCATCGTCTCCATAACTTCCATGGGGGTGCCGACCCAGATTTTGGGCACCAGGAAGTCTTCCAGAATCGCAGGTTCCCAGGCCCCGCCCGCACCTCCCAGGCAGCCCTGACCAGGAGCTTTAGAAAGTTGTTCAGAAGTCCCTGCCTGTCTCCTTGAGGCCTCGGTTATCTCATCAGTGATGATAACTCCTGCTGGCTGGCCACCAGCCTCACGGGGGAAAATGAGAGTCCACTGTTTGTTATTTAATATTAAGGTTGTTCGGGCTCACCCTGTGTCCATAAATACACTCGTGGGTCCCACTGTGCATGCTAAGTTGCTTCAGTCATTTCCAACTCTTTGTGACACTAAGAACTGTAGCCCGCCAGGCTCCTCTGTCCCTGGGAGTCTCCAGGCAAGGATACTGGAGTGGGTTGCCATGCCCTCCTCTAGGGGATCTTCCCAACGTAAGGAACGAACCCACGTCTCCTGAGTCTCCTGCATTGCAGGTGGATTCTTTACCGCTGAGCCTTTGAGACCAGCGCCTCTTGAGAAGTCTTCCTTCTCTCTGGTGCAGCCCTTGCCCTCGGGGCAGCCAGGCCATCTTTTCTGGGTTTGCCCTGCACTTCCCCATGGGAGGGAGGTTGATACTTGCTCAGGTAACTCCGTGCCCCTGGTTGCACCTGGAGAGACAAGGGGAGGGGGAGGAGTCCTACATAGATGGGGGACCTGGTCCTTGTAGATTTCTCTGAAAAGCGTTTTTCCACCTACAGCAGATAAGGCCTTGGAAAACCGGTCTCTTCATACCATTATCACTCCCAGCAAAATTAACAATAACTCATGAATACTATCCAATAGACAGTGTTGACAGTTTCCCCCAGGTAAAACAAAAATGCTAATTTTTAAAGCTTTATTGAGATATATTCCACATAACAGAGAGTTCATCCATTTAAAGTGTATAGCAATGTTATATACCAATTATACTCAATTTATTTAAGTTTTTTTTTTTAATGTGGACCATTTTTAAAGTCCTTACTGAAGTTGTTACCAAACTGCATCAGTTTCATGTTTTGGTTTTTTGGCTGTGAGGCAGGTGGGTCTTAGCTCCCAGGACAGGGATCAGACCTGCACCCTCTGCACTGGAAGGTGAGGCCTTGAGCAGGGGACTGCCAGGGAAGGAAGTCCTTATACCTCAATTTAAAAGGAAGTGTACAATGCAGTGGGCTTCCCAGGTGGTGCTTGATGTAGAGAACCTGCCTGCCAATGCAGGAGACACAAGAGACATGGGTTCAGTCCCTGGGTTGGGAAGATCCCCTGGAGGAGGGCATGGCAACCCACTCCAGTATTCTTGCCTGGAGAACCCCGTGGACAGGGGAGCCCAGTGGGCTACAATCCATGGGGTCTCAAAGAGTCAGACATGACTGAAACGACTTAGCATACACACACGTACAATGCAGTGATTTTAGTATACTCACACGTGCAACTTTCACAGTCAGTTTTAGGACATTTTCAACAACCCAGAAAGAACCCCCTTAAACCATTAGCTGTCATTTTCCGTTCCTGTGCCTCCTTGAGCCCCATTCCTCACTTACTATAATATCTTTAGGTTTATCTATAGCATGTATCAGTAATTTTTTTTTTTTTGCTAAATAATTGTATTTATCAATTGTATGGGCTGCAGTCCATGGGGTTGCAAAGAGTCAGACACGACTGAGCGACTATCACTAATGATGCTGAGCATCTTTTCTTGTACTTATTGGTCATTTGTATATCATAGTTGGAAAATGTCTGTTCAGATCTTTGCCCATTTTTAATTGGATTATTTGTCTTATATGTTTATGGGTTCAGTTTGCTAGCATTTTATTGAGGAGTTTTGCATCCATATTGTAGTTTTCCTGTGGTGTCTTTGATTTTTATCAGTGCAATACTGGCCTTATAGAATAACTTTGGAATTCTTCTGTTTTTTGGAAAAGTTTGGGGTTGTTTTTTTTCTTACCAGATCTATTATTTACTTATTCATTTTTGGCTGAACTTCATCTTCATTGCTGTGCACAGACTATCTCTAGTTGCAGTGAGTGGGAGCTACTCTTCGTTGTGGTGTGTGGGCTTCTCGTTGCAGTAGCTTCTCTTGTTGCTGAGCACAGGCTCTAGGCGAGTGGTCTTCAGTAGTTGTGGCGTGGGGCCCATAATAGTTGTGGCGCATGGGCTTTGTTGCTCTGTGGCATGTGGAGTCTTCCTGGACCAGGGATCAAACCTGCGTGCCCTCCATTGGCAGGTGGATTCTTAACCACTGGACCACCAGGGAAGTCCCTGGAAAAGTTTGTTAATACATTACTGATCCAGGGATTTTTGCAGAAACTAACACCGGTAGTGTTAATACATCTCTAGTCAATAATGTGTTAAGAGTTGGTATTAATTCTCCTTTAAAGGTTTGATAAAAGTCATTGGTGGAGCCACCAGGGCTTGGCCTTTTTCCATGTGTTGCTTTTGTTTTGATAATTCAATCATTTACTTGTTTTAGGTCTATTCAGATTATCAATTTTTTTCTTGAGTCAGCTTTGGAAGTTTATGTCTTTCTAGGAATTTGTCAATTTTATCCAACTTATCTAATTTCTTGGCATACAACTGTTCATAGTATTCCTTTATAATTCTTTTTATTTCTGTAGGATCAATAGCAATGTTCCCTATTTCATTTCTCATTCTAGTAATTGGAATCTTCTCTTTTTCTCTTGGTCAACCTAGCAAAAGGTTTATTGTTGATCTTTTCAAAGAACCAAAGCTTTTAGTTTCATTGATTTCCTGTGTTATTCTTCATTTTCTCTTTCATTAGTTTCCACTCCAATTCTTTATCATTTCATTTTTCCTACCCCCTTTAGGTTTATTTTGATCTACTTTCCCCAGTGTCTTAAGGTTAATGGCTAGACTGTTGATTTGAGATCTTTCTTCTTTGTTAATATAGTCACTTCCAGCTAAAATTTCTCTTTAAACACTGTTTTCGCTACATCCCATACGTTTTGGTGTGTTTGTGTTTTCATTTTATTTATTTTTTAAAAAGTTATTTATTTATTTATTTGGCTGTACTGGGTCTTGGGGCTTCCCTGGTGGCTCAGAGGGTTAAGTGTCTGCCTGCAATGCGGGAGACTGGGGTTCGATCCCTGTGTCGGGAAGATCCCCTGGAGAAGGAAATGGCAACTAACTCCAGTACTCTTGCCTGGAAAATCCCATGGATGGAGGAGCCTGGTGGGCTACAGTCCACAGGGTTGCACAGAATTGGACACGACTTCACTTTCACTTTCACTGGGTCTCAGTTGCTGCACTCAGGATCTTTAGTTGTGGCGTGCAGATTCACAGTTGCAGCATGTGGGCTCTAGTTCCAAGACCATAAACCACACCTAGGCCTCCTGTGTTGGGAGCAGGGAGTCTTAACACCTGAATCTCTAGGGAAGTCCTAGTATTTTCATTTTAATTCATCTCAAAGTGTTTCTAATTTCCTTTGCAATTTCTTCTTTGACCCATTGTTTAGTTAGGACAGGGCTGTTTATTTTCCATATATTTGTGAACTTTCAAATTCCAAATCAAATGCTGCTGATCTCTAGTTTAATTCCATTGTTATATATTTTTGTTATACAAAAATCATACATTTTGTGTGACTTCAATCCTTTTTAAATTTATTGAGTTTTGTTTTATGGCCTTAGTATAGGCTATCCTGTAGAATGTCCTGTGTGTATTCTGCTGCTGTTGAGTGGAGTGTCCTGTAGATGTCTGTTATATCCAGTTGGTCTATAGTGATGTTCAAATCTCCTGTTTCCTTGATGATCTTCTGTCTAGCTGTTTTATCCATTATTGAAAATGGGATATTGAAGTCCTCAACTATTTCTCCTTTCCATTCTCTCATATTTTGCCACATATATTTTGAGGGCTTCACTACTAGGTGTATATATGTTTATAATTATTATATCTTAGGACTTCGCTGATGTCCAGTGGCTGAGACTCTGCACTCCCAATGTACTACCCTACCTCGCCCAGGTTCAATCTCTGGTCAGGGAACTAGATCCCACATGGCACAACTAAGGATCCTGCACACCACAACTAAATGATCCCTAGTTGGAGAACTGAGGTCCCACATGCTGCACAACACAGCCTAAAATTAATAAATAGATAATAAAATGTGTCTCTTATAGATAGTATGAGGTTGGATCATATTTGCTTATCTATTCTGCCAATCTGTGCCTTTTAATGTTTACATTTACATTTAATGTAATACCCATGGACAGAGGAGCCTGACAGGTTATATATAGTCCATGGGGTCGCAAGAATCAGACATGACTTAACAACTAGACCACCACCACTACCACCACAGATAAGAAGGACTTCTGCCATGTCACTGTTTGTTGTTTTTGTTATCTGAATGCCTAACTATGCACTATACCCTCTATATACATTATCACATTTTTTCATACCCATTTAATGATTGCTGCTGCTGCTGCTAAGTCGCTGCAGTCATGTCCGACTCTGTGTGACCCCATAGACGGCAGCCCACCAGGCTCCCCCGTCCCTGGGATTCTCTAGACAAGAACACTGGAGTGGGTTGCTATTTCCTTCTCCAGTACATGAAACTGAAAAGTGAAAGTGAGGTCGCCTCAGTCATGTCCAACTCTTAGCAACCCCATGGACTGCAGCCTACCAGGCTCCTCCATCCATGGGATTTTCCAGGCAAGAGTACTGGAGTGGGTTGCCATTGCCTTCTCCGTTTAATGATTGAGGACTTCAAAATCTAGGAAAATGGAGTAACAGCCCCAGTTATTGGTGGAGCTGAGCTATAAGATCAGTAATGCATCCATCAGCTCTTGCTTTTTCCTCCCTCCTCCTCTGGCTTTTCCCCTTACCCTCCCAGGGTCAATCTACACATGCAGCCATAAGGACCCTTTAAAAATGTAAATCCAGTAACTGCCTTGTTGATCCTCCAATGGTTCTCATTAAAGGGCATGAGATGCTTCATGATGAATGACTCCTTTCCTACTGAACACATTCAAACCCAGGGTTGCCCCCTTCCCATTTAGGGCCCCTGAGAGCTCAGAGCACAATTGACTTCAGTGTCATTTTATGACCTCTGAATATGTTTCAGCCTAGGCCTTGGAAGAGCCAAGAAGACTTCTAGAACCATGACCACCACCAGAGAGCTTCCACATTTAACTTGTCTTTTCCACTAACTACACTCAACTTCACATTTTCCTTTCCTCTTCCCATCTTCAGTCCATAAGAACCCTGCAGGATTTGCTCACGGACATTTATGCACTGAAGGTCTCCGTTGAAACCCTCAGGAAGGAGGTGGCCATGCTGAAAGACGTGTTTGAGAAGGTAGACCCTCCCCAGCATCCCTCACAGTGGTCATGCTGCTTGGACCTCTGGTGGTTGGGATGACCAGATAAACCCAAGAAGCCTATTCTTAGTCAAAGAATATAGCTACGGGGGCAAGAGAAGGGGACTGACCTGGCCCAGCCACTTGGCCCATCCCACTGAGCTCTCTGCAGTTTCCACCACGATCCTCACCCTACTGTGAAAAGACATTTCTGAGTGACAAAAACTTAGTTCATTCTGCCTTAGGCAAAATAATTTATTGTCTCATTTACTAAAAACGTCAGGAATGCTGTCAGGTACAGCCGGATCAAGGTGCTCATACCACATCAAGGTTTCTCCTTCAGTGGTACTTCCCTCTGGGTTGGCTTCGTTCTCAGGCAGGTACTCCTCAAGTTCTGGCAGCTCCAGACTTAAAGTCCATCAACTTAGCAGAAAGAGAATACTTATTCTTTGTCTAGAAAACTTTGTTCCCACTGAAAAGTAGAGTAAACCTAGCATAGGCATATATTCTAGCTCCTTCTGGCGCCATAAGGATATCACCCCAGACATTGCCATGATGTGAAAGGATATAGAATCCCTGAAATGTAAGGTCACAGCTGGTGAGTCAGATCTGGGCTCAAAAGCTAGGCCTCCACACCCTCCAGCTAGTTTTTTGGCTGCGGTTTTACAACTTGCCCCAAAATAACATTATTTACCTTATCATCCCTAATGTACAGGTCAGTGTACACATTTGGTCATCATGGCAACTCTGAGAACTTCATTCTTGGGCTGGGTAGCTCCCCTCTGTAGCAGCAAGGGGACCGTCAGGAAACTGTATTATGAAATGCTAAATAGGATCCTTGGTCAAATCTGTTTGGCAACAATGCCTTCTCAGCCTGCTTCTTGGAGATTCTTTTTTTTTTTTCCTTGGAGATTCTTAATGTACTTTGGTCCACTGAAGGCTCCACAATGTCCTACAGTACAGAAAACCATTACATGATTTTTAAGCCTAGCATTTCCCAAACTTATTTGCCCAAGGAACCCTTTCCCACTCCATGGGGAACACTTGTTTTGGAAACTGTTCTTCCCTCTCGGTTTCTCAGTCTAAGGTCTTGCATTTGCGCTGGGGGAGACTGGGCCGGGACCAGACCCTGCACACTCTGGCTCACAGGCTTGGCTCATTTGACAGATCAGTCCACAAAGAATAGACGCCTTCTCAGAAGATTTGAGAGGGCAGAACCGGAAGATGAGTGTGCTGCAGCGGGAAGTGGTGAGGGCCCGGCCCCATCCTCCCACCCCAGATCCACGCCCTCCAGGCCCAGGGGTGCACGGCAGTGGGGAGGAGGGGGGAAGAGGAGAACAGTCTGGAAAGGCCCCTCTATTTGCAAGTGTGGGGGGCAGCTGTGGAGGAGGAAGCCACTGAGAGCACCGCACCCTCTGGGTTCACAACCCTCGTTCCCCACCTCCTTCCCCATCCCACCCGCAGACTTCTCTCCAGAGCAAGGTGACCGCCATCCCCAAACCCGAGGACCTGGTGCTCTGGAGCAGTCTTCACGAGGCCATGTTCATCCCGGTAAGTGAAGGACCTGGTGGAGGGGGACCGGAGTCGGGGAGGGATGGGTGACAGGGTGACCATGAGCTGGTCAGGAGCAGCCCCACCAGCCCAGCCCCACACCCCACAGGGAGCTGCTCCACAACTGCTGGGAGACTCCGACCTGTGGCAGATCTCAGAGCTCGCCTCAGAGACCACCATTGCTCAGACAGCCAAGGACCATGGAGGAGGGGGTCTCAGCCACTTCTCAGAGGCCGTCCAGCACCCCAGGTTCCTGGAGACCATCTGGCAGTACCAGGCGCCAGGGCAGAGGCTGGAGGAGGAGTCTGCCCAAGCAGCTCTGCTCCTTGGGGCTGAGGGGCCAGACCAGCCCCAAGTGCTAGAGCCTGGGCCTGGGCCTGGGTCTGCGTTGGGACCCAGGCCTGCACCTGGACCTGAGCCTTCATCTGAAGCTGGGCCTGCGTTGGGACCCAGGCCTGCACCTGGACCTGAGCCTTCATCTGAAGCTGGGCCTGTGTTCGGACCCGGGCCTGCTCCTGGGCCTGGGCTTTCATCCGAAGCTGGGTCTGAGTTTGGACCCGGGCCTGCACCTGGACCTGGGCCTGGGCCTGCGTTTGGACCCAGGCCTGCACCTGGACATGGGCCTTCATCTGAACTTGGGCCTGCGTTCGGACCCGGGCCTGCCCCTGAACTGGAACCTGCCCCGGGCCTTCAACCCACACCATCAGGATCCTGGACTGTACCACCGCAAGGCTGGCCTCCTCCCAGAGGCTTTCCCGGAACCAGCCCTTGGCCTTTCTGGGGCTTCCAGCCTGGCCTAGGCCCAATGGGCTTCCCGCCTGCCGGGTTCCGGGGCCTCAGGGCTCCACCCCCAGCCATGGAGCTGAGCTCAGCTTGGCCTCGTTTGCAGCGGTCCATGTACCACCAGGGAGACATGTCCAAGCTCTCAGCTGTCTCAGAAAAGGAGGAATACTCCTCCATGGAAAGGGGAGGCCCTCGGGACAGAGCCCTGAGAGCTGAAGTCCCCCCAGGAGGCCTTCCTAAGGGATTCCAGTCTGCCGTTCAGCAGATGAAACCCAGCGCTGCCCTCACGGCCGCGGCCGCTGCCTCCTACACCTCTGATGTGGCTGCATCGGCGGCCCGGGCAGCCAAGGCCGCTGCCAAGCTGATCAAGGACGCCCCTGCCACCAAACTGGCCGCTGTAGCAACAGCCGCAGCCTCAGCTGGGCCCTTAGGGGTCCTTGCAGAGTTTCTGGGTGCGGGGCCCTCGCATGGGGCCTTCCCCGGGGACGAGATGGAAGACTTGCTGGAGGTGGAGTATAAGGACTTGCTCTCTCCTTCATACTCTTCTGTCTTCGTCCCTCCCGACACGGCCCTGTCCCAGGCCATGCTGGCTGCCAAACATGCCACGACCCCCGAAGACAAGAAGAAGGCTGTCAGGTATTCCATGAGCCACATAGCCCAGATGCCCGTTAGACACGACACCCTGAAAGAAGAGTTTGCCCAGCTGTCATCTAACCTGCAGCAGCGTATGACTTATCTAGGTAGGCCCGGCCTGACTCCCGGAAGGGTAACGAGGGCTCAGGCCCTCCCTGTGGCCTTTGAGAAGCACCTCCTCTCCATTTAGCTACCCCAACAAAATGTAACCATTTGGCTAATACCACCATTAGCCATTCATTCCTTTGGCTTAAGCATTAACCTCTTACTTGTCTATTTTCTTACAACGAATGTACAGTGAGGTCTTATCTTAAGGGAGAGGGCTGGTTACAGTCTAAAGTTGGTGCTTAAGGGGGAAAAGCACAAGTCAGAATTACTCTTGAAAATTCCCTTTCAATTGTCCATAAAACAGTACTGCTGTACAGTGTTTTGATACGTTCAGATCAACCAGAGTTTCTAGTAGCACTGAACAGACCCCAGATGATGTGGTCAACTTGGAATTAGGAAAAATAGCTGAGCAGACATATATTTCCTTAAAGGCCACAGTCATGTTCTAGGGGGCAGTAGGAGCAATAGGGGGCTTCCTAGGTGGTACTGTTGGTAAAGAACCCGCTTGCCAATACAGGAGGCGCAAGAGACACCGGTTCCATCCCTGGGTCAGGAATATCCTTTGGAATAGGAAATGGCAAACCACTCCAGTATTCTTATGTGGAGAATCCCCCTGGACAGAAAAGCCTGGTGGGCTACAGGCCATGGGGCTGCAAAGAGTTGGACAGGACTGAGCACACAGGACCAATAGACTTGTGCTCCCAGTTCATGCCCACTTTGAGCATATGTCCACTGTGGGAAATGGAGGGTGGGGAGTGTCCTACCCTAGAGATTCTGAACCGTAAGCTTGCCTCAGCATCCCTGGGGGTCTTGGCAAGTCACAGACTGCTGGGCCCAGCCCCAGATCTGGCTTGTTGATCTGGGTAGGACCCCAGACTTTCTCTTTATAACCCATTCCAGGGGATGCTGCTTATGCTGCTGGTGACCCAGGGAACCCGCTTTGAGACCCACTGTCCTCGCCTCTTTGAATCATTATCTTGCTTTTGTGCTCTTTGCCAAGTGTAATAGTTGAATTAGCCCAAGTCGAATCCATATTTGGCACCACCCTTGGTGGGCAGGTGCGGTCCCACGGATCTTGAAAAGTAGAACTTTGAGCAGCCAAAAAGATCCATGTCAATTTCTGAATCCTGGGGCACAGCTCGGGTTATGACAGTCATGAATTTAAATATGAAACATAAAGTCGTAGTAGCCCAAACTCTGCTTCTGACCAGCTGCCACTTTTGTTAAGAAAACTAAAGATACTTGTAAATGTGTCTTGGCTGCAGTTTTGCATACCCTCCTAGCTGTGCCCTGGACATCATGTTTTGGCCTCTCCTCTGAAACTGGATATAGGGTACTTTTTGTCACCCCACTCCTTTTTTGTTAAACCTGTCTTTGCATCTTGTTGTGGGATAATATATTTCATGAACTCCCACAAGTAAACATTCCATAGTTTTTCTCAGTACCATTTCTGGAAGGGCAATAAATTCCAGAGAGGTTTCCCTAGGCCTGAGCTGTCTAGTAGGATACCACAAGACTGTCAAATATCTGAAATGGGGCAAGTTCAAGTTCTCTTGTGGTCCAAATATAAAGTGCACACCAGGGACTTCCCTGTGGTCCAGTGGTTAAGACTTGGCCTTCCAATGCAGGGGGGGGGCACAGGTTTGATCCCTGGTCAGGAAGCTAAGATCCCGCATACCTCGTGGCCAAAAAAACAAAAACATAATACAGAAGCAACATTGTATGAAATTCAATGAAGACTTTAAAAATGATCCACATTAAAAAAAAAATCTAAAAGTGTACATTGGATATTGAGGGCTTACTATGAAAACAGGAATGTGAAATTATTGTTAATCATTTTGTTGATCACATGTTAAAATGATGCTTTTTTTTTTTTTTTTTTTGTCCTACGGCTCCTGGGACCTTCATTCCCCATCCAGGGATTGAACCCATGCCCTCAGCAATGAATGCATGGAATCCTAACCACTGGACTGCCAGGGAATTTCCAAAATGATACTATTTTGGATTTAGTTCAGTTCAGTTGCTCAGTCATGTCCGACTCTTTGTGACCCCATGGACTGCAGCACACTAGGCTTCCCTGTCCATTATAAACTCCTGGAGCTTACTCAAACTCATGTCCATCGAGTCGATGATGCCATCCAACCATCTCATCCTCTGTCGTCCCCTTTTCTTCCTGCCTTCAATCTTTCCCAGCATCAGGGTCTTTTCAAATGAGTCAGTTCTTCAAATCAGGTGGCCAAAGTATTGGAGCTTCAGCTTCAGCATCAATCCTTCCAATGAATATTCAGGATTGATTTCCTTTAGGATGGACTGGTTGGATCTCCTTGCAGTCCAAGGGACTCTCAAGAGTCTTTTCCAACACCACAGTTCAAAAGCATCAATTCTTCAGCACTTAGCTTTCTTTATAGTCCAACTCTCATATCCATACATAACTACTGGAAAAACCAAAGCTTTGACTAGACAGACTTTTGTTGGCAAAGTAATGTCTCTGCTTTTTAATATGCTGTCTAGATTGGTCATAACTTTTCTTCCAAGGAGCAAATGTCTTTTAATTTCATGGCTGCAGTCACCATTGACAGTGATTTCAGAGCCCCAAAAAATAAAGTCTGACACTGTTTCCACTGTTTCCCCATCTATTTGCCATGAAGTGATGGGACTGGATGCCATGATCTTAGTTTTCTGAATGTTGAGTTTTAAGCCAACTTTTTCACTCTCCTCTTTCATTTTCATCAAGAGGCTCTTTAGTTCCTCTTCACCCTCCGTCATAAGTGTGGTGTCGTCTGCATATCTGAGGTTATTGATATTTCTCCCAGCAACCTTGATTCCAGCTTGTGCTTCATCCAGCCCAGCATTTCTCATGATGTACTCTGCATATAAGTTAAATAAGCAGGGTGACAATATACAGCTCTGATGTACTCCTTTCCCGATTTGAAACCAGTCTGTTGTTCCATGTTCAGTTCTAACTGTTGCTTCTTGACCTGCATACAGAGTTCTCAGGAGGCAGGTCAGGTGGTCTGGTATTCCCATCTTTTTAAGAATTTTCCAGTTTGTTGTGATCCACACAGTCAAAGGCTTTGGCATAGTCAATAAAGCAGAAGTAGATGTTTTTTCTGGAACTCTCTCGATTTTTCAATGATCCAACGGATGTTGGCAGTTTGATCTCTGGTTGCTCTGCCTTTTCTAAACGTAGCTTGAACATTTGGAAGTTCGTGGTTCACGTACTGTTGAAGCCTGGCTTGGAGAATTTTTAGCATTACTTTGCTAGCGTGTAAGATGAATGCAATTGTGCAGTAGCTTGAGCATTCTTTGGCATTTCCTTTCTTTGGGATTGGAATGAAAACTGACCTTTTCCAGTCCTGTGGCCACTACTGAGTTTTCCAAATTTGCTGGCATATTGAGCACAGCACTTTCAAATCATCATCTTTCAGGATTTGAAATAGCTCAACTGGAATTCCATCACCTCCACTAGCGTTGTTTGTAATGATGCTCCTAAGGCCCACTTGACTTCGCATTCCAGGATGTTTGGCTCTAGGTGAGTGATCACACCATCGTGATTATCTGGGTCATGAAGATCTTTTTTGTATAGTTCTTCTGTGTATTCTTGCCACCTCTTCTCAATATCTTCTGCTTCTTTTAGGTCCATACCATTCCTGTCCTTTATTGTGTCCATCTTTGCATGAAATATTCCCTTGGTATCTCTAATTTTCTTGGTATTTCTAATTTTCTCTAATTTACAGATCTCTAGTCTTTCCCATTCTATTGTTTCCCTCTATTTCTTTGCATTGGTCATTGAGGAAGGCTTTCTTATCTCTCCTTGCTATTCTTTGGAACTCTGCATTTAAATGGGTGTATCTTTCCTTTACTCCTTTGCCTTTCACTTCTCTTCTTTTCACAGCTATTTGTAAGGTCTCCTCAGACAATCATTTTGCCTTTTTGCATTTGTTTTTCTTGGGGATGGTCACTGTACAGGATGGTCACTGCCTCCTGTACAATTTTGGATTAGAGTGGGTTAAAAAGATTTTTTAAATTAATTTCATCTGCTTATTTTTAGATTTTTCTTTTAAAAGATGTCACTAGAAAATTTTAGATGACCTCAAAGGCCCCCAAGCTCACAGCTTCCTTCTACTGGAAGACATCATCTTAGATACTTCATAGCAGAAGCAGATAGAGCTCTAGAAGCATCTTTCCCCATCCCTGTCCCTGACAGCCACCCACTCCTTTGCTTTCAGCTAACATGGGAGCCTCTTCCAAGCTTGGGTCAACAGTGGACATCTTGCAAGAAAAGATTGGCAACCTCCAGAAATCCAGGATGAAGGTCAGTGTCCTGGGCAGAAAAGGCGTTGAGAAGATGATGGCTTGAGGTGAGAGCAGAGTCCATGGCCAGAGCCAGGGCAGATCCTGCCCTTCCAGATGAAGAAGCACCATCTGTCCTGTAGCCGAAAGGAGGCCGATCCGCTCTGGCTGGGGCGGGGCTGGGGTGGGCGGCTGTACGGTTCCCCCGACAAGGGTTTAGGAGGCTGTGGGCTGGCAGGTACCCTGGGCTAGTACCCTCTTCAAGTCCCTTCCTGGCTGTGGCGACCTCAAGAGAAGAGGCCTCAGATGTCTGTGTCTCCTCCTGTGTAGGAAGAGGAACTTGAGAGAGTTTGGGGCCACCAGATCGAGATGATAAAGGACCACCACATCGTGCTGGACAGGGCAGTGAACAGGCTCCAGATTCGCCTGGATGAGTTAAAGGTCTGGAGGTCTGGGAGGCCCAGAGTGGGGAGGATTCCTCATCGGGACGTTGAGACTCTTCCCAGAGGTTTCACAGATGCCCCGAAGGCAGGGGATCCAGGGACGCTCTGCTGGCATTTCACTGTGTGTGAAGTAGACAGCCTCAGAAAGCAAACCAACCCGCCACCCCGCCCCCACACATACACCAGAGCACCGGGACAGGGTCTGTCTCGTTCACCACTGGGGCCACCCACCTGGCGCCGAGTGAGGGCTCACAATGTGCTGAACGAATCAATGAATGAATGAGAGGACTTCTGGCACCAGCTGTGCATGTCTGTAACCTTTCCCCTAAACTGGCTTTTCGTCTGAGCTCTCATGCCACAGGGACTGGATGGAACAGCGGCGTCTGACATGAGAAATGTGAGGACCCTGAAAAGCACCTCCCAGGGATCACTCAGCCAGACACCTCCTCCTGTGGGCTGGCTGGGCTGCCCTGACCACCCCAGCCTGATGGTCCTCGGGACCATTCCAGTCTGAGTCTTGTCCCGGAGGCATCCCAGATCTTCAGAAAAAAGATCACAGTCCTTCCCAGTGGGGAGGACTGTGACCTTTTCCCCCAGGGTGTAATGAGACAAAATCCCAAACAGAGCCACCTGAGGTGATTCCCGTGGGGGCTTTGGATTCCAAGTCAGGGGCTGTTGGTGGGACACACTAGGATGTGGGAAGCAAGAGGGGAGGGCAGAGCTCCCCTCCCAAGGTCATCACATGGAGTGACCAGGCCAGTGTGCACAGGGATGGGAGGAAAGCTTATCAAAGGCGAGCCGATGCCCAGCCCGAGCGGGGAAGAAGGGAGTGCCGGGGCTGTGTGTGGGCATAGGATACACAGTCTTGGGCTGAGACTCTTGCAAGTACCAGGATCAGGAAGTGCGCCATCTCCTGCCAACCCCGGCTCTTATTTAGCCACTGCTTTTCAGAGAGGCTGGGATGCCATGTCCTAGGGACCTACTGGAGCCCTTCCTGGTCGGAGACCAGGGCCAAGTCATCCAGCATGTCTGATGTGGGTCCAGCACCACGTCCCACTCAGCTTGGGGGAGGAGGAGGGGGCCACAGGATCTGCCTCCAGAAAGCCATCAGTGGTCCCTTGTTGAGAGAAGCTCAAGAGGAGTTTGGCCCAACAGGCTGAATGGACCAAGTCAGCCTTTGTCTGGACTTCCTTCCTGCCCCTCATGCCAGCAAGAGCTAATTGCTTCTAAAAGTGGACCCCGGAAGGATCTGGAGCGGGGCTTTGTATACAGCACACTTCATCAAATAGTTCTTAAATGAACACGGGCTGCGAATCATCAGCAGCCCCATGGAGCCCTTCCAGCAGAGGGAGGAGGGAGGCAGACACCCGCCCCATTCTGTTACAGCAGGGGGCTAGTGAAGAAACGCCGCCGACACTGCCTTCTACCTGGAAAGCTGGAAGAAAACCTTCTGTACGTAACAGGTGGCACCAGAAGCCCCCATCACCCCTGCATCATTCAGCCCATGTGACTGAGCCTTCACTCCACACCAGGCGCCCTTCCAGGGCCCCGAGATACAGCAGTCAAGAAGAGGGACAACACCCGGGCCCTTCTGTGTTTCTCACGGGGGAATGATAGCATTTGTTTGTCTTTAATCGAAGCATGATTTACACACAGTAAAATGCCCAGGCTTGAAGCATAGACACTCAACTTATTTTTGCCTCTTTGTACAGCCATGTCAGCACCATCCAGATGGAAGTGTTTCCATTGCCTCAGACTGCTTCTTTTGGAGTGTTTCTCACAAAGAACGCAGCAGGAAAATGAATGAGGACAGAAGTCTTTCTTACTGACTCAGTGTGGAAATGTGAAAACACTATTTGCCCTTTGCAAATGGGCAGGTATCTTTTATAAGCTACAGGCTGCATTCGAGGACCTCTTTTTTTTTCCTTTTTGATGTGGACCATTTTAAAAGTCTTTATTGAATTTGTTGCAGTATTGCTTGTTTTATGTTGTGGTTTTTTTTCCAAAAAGCATGTGGGACCATTAGCTCCCCAACCAGGGATCAAACCACACTCCCCTGCATTGGAAGGTGAAGTCTTCACCACGGGACCAACAGGGAAATCCCCAAAACCATTCTTTTTTAAAAATTCCTATTGGAGTATAGTTGATTTATAATATTGTGTTAGTTTCTGCCGTACAGCCAAGTGAATCAGTTATACATCCAGAGCCGTTCTTGGAACAAACAGCGATATCCAGGGCTCTGGCTTGGTGCAGGAGAGGACTGATATGAGAGCTGATGTGGTATCGAATGCTAACTCTTCTAGGAAGATGCCATTTCTAGTCCCCTCAGCTTCCTTGGAGCAGGAGTGATATTAATGCCATTTGAACGAGGAGGAAACAGATTCAGGCAGAGTAACCAGCTGGTTGGGAGGCGGCCTGCCATTGTGGTTAGATACGCCGGGGTTTCAATCCCGATTCTGCCACTTACTGGGCATTTCTGTGGCTGCTGGAACAGATAACCACACACCATGTGACTTAAAACTAGAGACATGTACTCTTCCCAATTCTTGGAGGCTGAAAGCCCTGAATCAAGGTGCTGGCGGGCCCTCACGCTGTCTGAAGGCTTCGGGGGGATCCTTCCTGGCCTCTCCCAGCTTCTAGCAGCTCCAGGTGTTCTTGGCTTGTAGACGCATCGCTCGAGTCTCTGCCTCCGTTGTCACGTGACCTTCTCTGTGTGTGTCTTTGTGTCTTCACGTGGCCTTCTCATCCATGTGTTCCGCCCTAATCCAGTGTGACCACATCTTAACTGATTACACCTGCGAAGAGCCATTTTCAAATAAGGCCATGTTCACAGGTTCTGGGAAGGCGTGAATTCTGGAAAGGACCTTAGTCAGCCCCGTGCACCCCATCACCCCTGTGTCATTCGGCCCACGTTACTGAGCCTTCACTCCGTACCAGGCGCCCTTCCAGGGCCCCGCAATACAGCGGTCAAGAAGATGGACAGTGCCCAGGCCCTTCTGGCAGTGGAAGTTAGAGGGTCCCGGCTGCTCTGAATTTCTAGATTTTAATCGGGAACAGCCAAGTGGGGCTCTAAGTGTTCGTGTCGGGCCTGATGACTCCAAAAGGTCAGCTCCCCGCTAACGTGGGGTTGGAGGAAGCAGCCTGACTTGAGGCCGAAGCAGGACTCCCTTCCCCACCTCCACCACCTATACTAGACCTTGAGACCTGGGGGCAGGGTGGATGTGAAGCAGCTTTGCATTAATTAGAATTAGCTTTGCCTTCAAATAACATAAAACCCCCAAATAGCTGACTTAAACAAGGCCTAAGTGTATTTCTCTTTTGTTTTTGCTGTTCTTAGTCGCTCAGTCATGTCTGACTGTGACCCCATGGACTGTAGCCCACGAAGTTCCTCTGTTCATGGCATTTCCCAGGCAAGAATTTTGATGTGGATTGCCATTTCCTTCTCCAGGGGATCTTCCTGACCCAGGAATGGAGCCTGTGCCTCCTGCCTTGGCAGGCGGATTCTTTACCGTTGAACCACCAGGGAAACCCCGTATTTCTCTTTTACGTTCAGGAAACTCAGAGCTGGTATAGAGCTCCTTGGTGTGTGACTTCTGTTCACAAGATCACCTCATGGTCCAAGACAGCTGCTGGCGCTCCAACAATTTAACTCTGAATCTAAGCCAGCAGTGAAGAGAACACCTACCCACTTCCATTTATACTTCAGTGGTCACATCAAGCTATAAAGGAGGCTGTGGAATACAGTCATGATTCTGGGTGGCCAGATGCCAGCTGAAAGATGGGGGTTCTGTTTCTCAGAGTGAAAGGGAGACCAGATATGAAGGGAGAACTAGAAGCCTGTTTCCAATTTTGGAGGGAGCGTGACCTCCCCCACTGCTGGAAACATGGCCCAGTAGATCGAGGCTCTTCCCAAGCAGGGAAGCTGGCTGCTCCTGTCATGGGGAGGGTTCAGTCAGTGGAGACAGGGCAGAATTGATGCAGGGAATTGGTTCTTTGTGGAGTCATGGGGGCGGGAAGTGAGGGTTTTCGCCTGACACAGGGCATAGTATGTGTCGCACGTAAGTGCTAGGTTGATGTAGAGACGCCATTACAGATCAGAGGAGATGCGCTTGCCTCAATCATCTAGGGACACAAAGCATTTGTGCGTTCCTTCCTCTGGTCTTCCTTCCTTTCCTGTGTAGCAAAGTTCTGTGATGCCACCCCTGAGGGGACAGCTTGTCCCGAGCCCCCCATTCCTTCCCTTCTGATCTGGAAACCTGGAGCCCAAGCCTTTCACTGTGCCACCCCGCCTGCTGTCCCCCCGGCCCCTCTGGTCCCTTCCTAGGGTGGAGGCTGAAAGCAGAGGCTGTCCTCAGGACGTCCGAGGATGACTGACATCCCTCTGCCTCTGTTCTTAGGTTGTCTATGCTCAACTAAGAAACCTAGAAATGTACAAGGCAGACAGAAATGAGATGGAGCAGGAGTTGAAAGAGGTGAGTGAGCAGAGACTCCTCTCCCCCACCCCATCCCCCATCCTGAGCCCGGCTCTCCCACTGAGGGAAACGGAATCATCCAGCCAGGACGAAGCCAGGCAGACAGACTTCCCAAGCTTCCTTCCACCTTTATCATATAGAAAGTCCCTGGGAGAGTTAGGGTCATTCTCCCCCGCCCCCCGCCCGTGCGGAGGGCTATAGGGCGCTTCTCCCATAATTTTTGTAGGTCTTGTGAGATAAACAAGACCAACATAAAAAAAAAAAAAAGAAAGTCCCTGGGAAGTTCTCAAAAGTTGTCCCATCAATTCTTATAGTCAGTGACTCAGGATTAGTGACAATTTTTTAAACTGAAGTATAGTTGTTCTACGTGTTAATTACTGCTGTACAGAAAAGTGATATACACAGTGAAAGTGTGAGTCACTCAGTCATGTCTGTCTCTTTGTGACCCCGTGGACTGTCGCCCACCAGGCTCCTCTGTCCATGGGATTCTCCAGGCAAGAATACTGGAGTGGGTTGCCATACCCTTCTGCAAGGGATCCTCCCAACCCAGGGACTGAACCCAGACCTCCTGCATTGCAGGTGAATTCTTTAGCATCTAAGCCACCAGGGAAGCCCAATGTACACAGTATATATATATATATATATATATATATACACACATATATATATATATATATGCATTATTTTTTAAATATTCTTTCCCATTATGGTTTATCACAGGACATTGAGTATAGTTCTCTATGCTATATGGTAGAACCTTGTTGTTTATCCATCCTATATATAAAAGCTTACATCTGCTAACTCCAACCTCCAACTCCTTCTTTCTCCCAACCCCCTCCCCCCAGCAACCACCAGTCTTTTCCCTGTGTCTGTGATTCTGTTTCTGTTTCATAGACAGGTTCATTTGTGTCATGTTTTAGATTCCACATATAAATGATATCATATGGTACATGTCCTTCTCTTTCTGGCTTAATTCATTTAGTATGATGATCTCTAGCTGTATCCATGTTGCTGCAAATGACATTACTTTGCTCTTCTTTATGGTCAAGTCATATTCCATGCCACACACACTATGTCTTTATCCATTCATCTGTCAATTTTGGTTGTTCATTTTAGTTGTTTCTATGTCTTGGATATTGTGAATAGTGCTGCTATGAACACAGGCCTGCATGTATCTTTCTGAATTATAGTTTGTGTCAATTTGTTCATTTCAGTTCAGTTCAGTCACTTAGTCGTGTCTGACTCTTTGCGACCCCGTAAATCGCAGCATGCCAGGCCTCCCTGTCCATCACCAACTCCTGGAGTCAACCCAAACCCATGTCCATCAAGTTGGTGATGCCATCCAACGATCTCATCCTCTGTCATCCCCTTCTCCTCCTGCCCCCAATCCTTCCTAGCATCAGGGTCTTTTCCAATGAGTCAGCTCTTCGCATGAGGTGGCCAAAGTATTGGAGTTTCGGCTTCAGCATCAGTCCTTCCAATGAACACCCAGGACTGATATCCTTTAGGATGGACTGGTTGGATCTTCTTGCAGTCCAAGGGACTCTCAAGAGTCTTCTCCGACACCACAGTTCAAAAGCATCAGTTCTGAACTTAAAACCATGCCTCAATTTCTCCATCACAGGAAAACCCTGGCTTTGATCTAATAGCTGTGTTTGAGCCGGACCCCAGGGTTGAATTTAAGCCAAGGCTGGGTATCCAGGGTCCCAGACTAGAACAACTGACCAGTGATCTGACCTCCCCAAGATCCCCTCTGCTCCCACCCCCACAGCCCTGCCTCCCTGAGTCCCATCTCTCCCCAGAAGGCCGACAAGAGCTCCCTGGCAGGCAAGGCAAGCCGGGCTGACCTGGACACAGTGGCCATGCAGCTGAATGAATTGATTCAGGGCACGCTCTTCAGGGTGGTTGCCAATGAGGATGACTGGAAGAAGGCTGTGGAGCAGTTGGGCAAAGACGTACGTACCAAGGTGAGGAGCTCTGTATTAATCACCACCTTCTGCGTAACAAACTACCCTGAAATTTAGTGCCTTAAGACAGCAAAGTTCACAGTTTTTGAGGGTCAAGAATTTGGAAGCAGCTTAGCTGGGTGGCTCAGGGCCTCCCACAAGGCTGCAGACAGGGTGTTGTCCAGGGCCTTCGTCGTCCAGAGGCTTGACTGGGGCTCGAAGAGCCACTTCCAAGATAGCGCCCCCATGTGGCTGTGAGCAAGACTTGGCACTTCCTCATCACATGGTGGCCTCCTTAGGGCTGCTTGAGCAGCCTCACAACATGGCAACAAGTGTTCCCCCACAGGAACACGTGATCCAAGAGAGCAAGACAGAAGCTGCAATGTCCTCTCTGACTTAGCCACAGAAGTCACACTCCATCACTTCTGTAATATCCTGTTGGTTACACAGGTCAGCCCTGTTCAGTGTGATAGTCGGGGAGTGTCTGGGACGTTGACCACCGTAGTGCTCCTCTCTGGACAAACAAAGGGACATGGCGGGCAGAGGGGGCATCCTGCTGGTCATTTATTTATCCATTCATCATTTAATGGCCACCTGTGTTGAGCCAGACCCTGGGGAAACGTTAATAAGGAGTCATAGTCTTCATTTGTACCGTCCAATAGAGAGACAGGAACAGTCAGGCCAAGCCCTTGCGTGCTGTGTGGTTCCTGCTGCTGGTGTGACTGGTGTGGATAAAAGCACTGGGGTTTAGAATCAGGCACTCGGGGTCTGAGCCCCAACTCCACCGTGCTCAGCATTGTGCCCTGCGTTAGAGAACCTGTTCAAGTCTTGATTTTCTCATCTGTAAAGTGAGGATTTATTCACTCATCACCCACCTATTGGGTACCTCTGGTTAATGAGGATACGATGGTAAGCAAAACAGATCCGGGACACACTTGTCATAAAAATCATACAAATCAATGCAGAACTACAGCTGAAGTAACTCAGTTATCTGCAGAACGACTGACCTGTTTTTCTCCCATAATTCCATGGCAGAGTGAAAAAAAGTGGGACAAAAACTGTTCTAGATTAAAAGAGTCTCAGGAGTCACAACAACTGAATGCAATACACGAGGAGACTTCCCTTGTTTCAGTTGCTCCAACTCTGAAAATTAGCTGGAAATTAGATCAAGTTCAGGCATGAGTGCTCATTATGTTAGATTGGATAATGGTATTGCAGTCATGTAAGAAAATCACTAAAATATTTGGGTAGAATGTTGTGATTTCTGTAACTTAAAAAAAAAAAAATACTGCATCAATTCCTTGGAGGTCCAGTGGTTAGGACTCTGTACTTCCACTGTAGGGGTTCGATCCCTGGTCTGGGGACTAAGAGCCTACAAGCTGCACAGCACAGCTGAAAAAAGAGAGAAGAAAAAGTCAGATGGAGCAATATGTTAATAATGATTAAATCTACATAGCAGGTATTTCAGGGTTCATGATTCTAGTCTTGTCTCCTCTCTATGTTTCTAAATATTTTTCCTGATTGAAAGCTTTTCTTGTTGTTTGTTGGTTTAAGTGATCCTGTCCTCATTGCTCTCCTTTTCTTTGTGTATTTTTCATTGTGGGAAGATTCACATGACATAAAATTAACCATTATCAATTTTAAGGTGATGAATTCCATGGCATTTGTTACATTCACAGTGTTGTGTTAGCACCACCTCTCTCTGGTTCTGGAGCATTTCCATCCCCCCAAAAGGAGACCCCAGGCCCATGAAGCAATCACCCCTAACTCCCCCTTCCCCAGCCCCTGGTAACCACTAATCTACCCTCTGGATTGGTCAATTTTGGACACTTCATATAAATGAATCACACAGCATGTGACCTTTAGTGTCTGGTTTCTTGCACTAAGCATCATGTTTTCAAGGCTCATCCGTGTTGTAACATGGGCTTCCCTGATGGCTTAGATGGTAAAGAATCTGCCTGCTATGCCAGAGACCTGGGTTTGATCCCAGGATCAGGAAGATCCCCTGGAGAAGGGAATGGCAACCCACTCCAACTCCATTCTTGCCTGGAGAATCCCATGAACAGAGGAGCCTTGCAGGCTACAGTCCATGGGGTCACAAAGAGTTAGACATGACTGAGTAACTAACACACGCATGTTGTCACATAAATCAGAAGTTCATTTTTTTCCATGACTGAATAAGATGGTCAGACAGATAGGCCACATTTTGTTTGTTCATCTGCTGATGAACACTTGGATTATTTCCACCTTTGGACTCTTGTGAATAATGCTGCTATGAACATTCATGAGCAAGTTTTTGTTTGAAGACATGTTTTCCGTGACACTGGGTAGATACCCAGGAGTGGTCATTTATTTATCCATTCATCATTTAATGATCACCTGCATTCATTTAGTGACCACCAGGAGTGGAATTGCTGGGTCGTATGGTAATTCCATGTTTAACTTTTTGTAGGGGTAATATATTGTGATGTCTGTGATTATTCTCAGATGATTCAGAAAACAAACACATACATACATATGGACAGATAAAGAAGACATTGTGAAATGTTAAGAATTGGTGAATTTAAGTGGATATAGGAGTGTCCTTTGGACTATTCTTGCAACTTGTGTGTAGTTTTGATCTTTGTGTGTGTGTAGTTTTAAAAGACTGTAGTTGGTCTTCGTTGCAGCACTCAGCATCTTCATCACATCATATGAGATCTTTCATTGTGGTGCACAGATTCCCTAGGTGTGGCTTGCAGGCTTGGTTGCTTAGCTGCCCCCTGGCATGCGGGATCTTAGTTCCCCGACCAGCGATTGAACCTGCATCCCCTGCATTGCAAGGTGGATTCTTAACCACTGGACCACCTCACTTTTCTTGGTTAATCTTATTTGTTGTTTAGTCGCTGAGTCATGTCCAACTCTTTTGCAACCCTGTGGACTGTAGCCCTCCAGGCTCCTCTGTCCATAGGATTTCCCAGGTAGGAATACTGGAGTGGGTTGCCATCAATCTTGTTACTCTCTCTATAACTTTGCAAGTTGCTGGAGAGAGGCAGAGTGTTTACTTAATTGACTAAACACTCTTCCCTTTGGCTTTTGGCAGCTGGTTCCCAGCGATTTGGATGATCTGAAGAAAGACATGGACGAGGTCTGGAAAGTTGTCAGGAAGCTGCTGACTGAAGGCCTCCACTTTGACCCGGACAATGCTGCCGGCTTTAGGAGGTGAGTCCCTCCAGGGGCGGGGTCCCCTGCAGCCCTTGCAGCTCCCAGAGGCTGCACGGCCCTCCCTCCAGAGAGGAAATGAGAGAGGTATCCCAGTGGATTCTGGACTCTGGGAGGAAGGACTCCAGACCTGTGGACCCGGGAAGGGGGGACATGGGGCTTCCCAGTGGAGGGGAAGATGAGGCAGAGAGCACCAGAGCTCAGAGGTGGGCCGCCCAGGCCTTGGCTCCACGTTCTTTCATGAGGAAACGGAGGCTCAGAGAGGGAGGGGGCCCCTGCGAGGCCACACAGGGAGCTTGGGCAGACCTGGAACTAGAGCCAGGCCCCCACCCCATCCAGACAGAGCCCCCAGCAGAGAGACCCGATCTTCCTGGGGGGCTCCTGTCCTCAGATCACCCCTCATGCCCTCCACCGTCCACCGTGAAGGGTAGCTCTTCCCGGTTATGAAGGCCTCCGTTGTGTTTGGGGCGAGGAGAGGAACTACGCCCACTTTTAACCCCCACTGCTGCCCCAAGTGGCCCCACGTGGCGGTCAGTAGGGACCAGAGGAGTTGAGCTGAGCCAGGCCAGGCCAGCGGGAGTGGGCTCTGGGGGGAAGCCCTGGCCCTGAGGCACGGGTGGACCTGCAGCCTCCCCCAAGCACTGCCCAGGGTGGGGATGGCCTCGTGGGGCCCAGCTGGGGCAGCGGCTGACAGAGTGGGGTGTCTTCCAGGAAACTGTTTGAGCGGGTGAAATGCATCTCCTGCGACCGGCCCGTGGACATGATGACCAGCCCGTGAGTACTGTGGGGGTGGTCGGGGACGGGAACGTCCGTGCACACCGTTTTGTGCACACGATCCCGTTAGCTCCCGACCTGGGCAGCACTGTGCCCCTCCCTTCCCCAGTCCCGTCTGCTGCCCGCTGTGTCCAGGAACAGGGTGGACTCCAGAGGAGAAGGGTAAGAGGAAACTCGGGGAAAGCTGAACCCCGTGGGACTTCCCTGCACGTGTTTTTATAGTCTAATACTTTATGTATGGAGGTGAAATTCACATACAAAATCAGTCATTTTAAAGTGGAAAACTCAGTGGCATTTAGTGCACATGTGTGCATGCTAAGTGGCTTCAGTCATGTCCGACTCTTTGCGACCCTGTGGACTGTAACCCTCCAAGGTCTTCTGTCCATGGGATTTTCCAGGCAAGAATACGGGAGTGGGTTACCTCCTCCAGGGGATCTTCCCAGCCCAGGGATCTAACCCTGGTCTCATGTCTCCCGCACTGGTAGGTGGGTTCTTTACCACTAGCACCACCTGGGAAACCCCAAATGAAACTGTGAGTCTCTCAGTTGTTTCTGACTCTGGGATCACATGGACTGTAGCCTGCCAGGCTCCTCTGTCCATCGAATTCTCCAGGCAAGAAGACTGGAGTAGGTAGCCATTCCCTTCTCTAGGGAATCTTCCTGACCCAGGGATCAAACTGGGGTCTCCTGCATTGCAGGAGGATTCTTTACCATCTGAGCCACCAGGGAAGCCCATTCACCTCAGATTCCAAAATATCTTCATCTCCCCACCACTCAGATCAAGATGTAGAGTAGTTCCAGCTCCTCAGAAGGCTGATGCTTTAATTGTTTGTAATGAGGTCAAATACACATAATATAAATTAACCGTTTTAAAGTGAACAGTTCAGGGACGTCCCTGGCTATCAAGTGGTTAAGATTCCTTGCTTCCATTACAGGGAAGGGTCACAAATTTGATCCCAGTTCGAGGAATTAAGATCCCACATGCTGGGTGGTGTGGCCTAAAAAAAGAAAGAAAGTGAACAGTTCAGGGACATTTAGTACATTGACAACATGGCCCAACCCCAAAAGGAAACCCCGTGCCCATCAGCAGCCACTCTCCATTCTCCTCCGCCGAGCCCATGGCACCCTCCAACCCATGTCCCATTTCTAGGACTCACCTGTTCTGGGTTTTCCTTTTGTCATCAGAACAGTTGTTCTCAATGACCTACGAAGAGGACGGTGGCCCCACACTGTGGATCTTTCAGGAGGAAAGGCCACGTTTGAGGGCGGGCTTCCAGGAGGAGGTGGGAGCTGGGCCCTCTGCTGGCCGCGTGCGGCCCCCACTTTGCTCTTGTCCTCCACAGGCAGCTCATCACCATTCGCAACACCCACCTGCTGCCAGGGCTGCGGCCGGCCAGCGCCAACAGCTACGAGTACCTGCAGCGCCAGCAGATGAGGTGAGCAGGTGGGGGATCCGGGCGCAAACTGCAGTCCCGAGACTCAAAGACTGTCCAGGGCACCGCAGCCATCTGCAAGGGATGCTGTCCTGGGTGGTGGGGCTGAAGACGGTCACGTGAGGTGCTCACGGGGAGAGGAACGAACAGGTTATCAGGCATCTGTGGTGGACCAAGAACTGTTAGGGGAGGGAGGGTCTCAAACCTCACATGCCCCTGTGAGCGAGGGTTGACAGACCAGCTTCCTGCTGGAAGAAGTGAGTCATGACCCCTCAGGGTCGTTGAGGGGCTTGCCGTGGCCGGGCAGGCTCTGTGCCGAGTGCTCTGACAGCGCTGACCTCATTAAAACCTTATACCTTCCCTTTGAGGTCATTCTGCTATAATCCTAGCTGAAGAAACTGAGGCTCAGAGAGTTTCAGCAACTGGCCTGAGATCACAGCTACTGTATGGCAGGCCTGGTGCCTCAGCCTTCGTGTTTCCCTGGCCCCCGGCTGGCACCCTAGGCCCCAGCCCCTCTCCTCAGCCCCTGACCCCCCCCCCATGGCTTCATGGGTGCTTCCGACACCCAGGCCCCCAGGCTCGAGGGTGGGGAGTGATGGCTGAACAGCAGCCACGGCCACATGAAGGTGAGGGACCTGGGGCCTGTGCCTGATGCCCCCCTCCCTCGCCTGACTCTCTTTTGAGATGAGAGGTTAAGAGGGACAGGTGGTCCAGTGATTAAAACTTAGTCCTTCCAATGCCGGGGGCTTGGGTTTGATCCCTGGTCCAGGAACTAAGATCCCACCTGCCCCACGGTGTGATCAAAAAAAAAAAAGAGTTTAAGAGCCTGCTCTTGTCAGGCCAGACCTGGGCCCCAGGTCTGGGGGAACACGGCTCTCAATTTCTGCTCTCTGCCCCGGACAGGTCTGTCCAGAGTTCCCCAGCTACTGGCCAGGCCCTGGGACCCAACCTGAGGCTCCTCTGGGGCGGAGGTGCCTCCAGGTGGCTGCTGACTGCCCTGTCCTGCCCCCAGGGAACAACAGCAGCTACAGAAACTCCAGAACCTCGGAGCCCCTGAGGGGAGCCTGGACTCACTGGGCCCCCCGCAAGACTGGGGTGACAGCCCCAGAAATGACACCAACCTCGAGTTCAAACCATACGGCTTGTCGACACTCTACCCCTACGGGGACCCTGGGCTGTTGGACTATGACTCCGTGAGTCAGGCCAGGGCCCCTGGAGGTGGGTGACCCTGGGGGAGGCGGGCCCTGCTGCCTCTGTGGACAGTCCCTGACCTGGGGCCTGGGCTGCCTTAACCAGGCCGAGGTGGACCTCCTGGGAGTGGACGGGATCCTCTACAAGGGCCGAATGACCGGCAAGGACAGGGCGCGGCCGCTGACTGGCGCAGAGAAGGAGGTGGCAGGTGAGGAGCGTCAGCCTGCCTGGGCACCCTGCCCAGGGTCCTGCCTTTGCTGGGCAGCGTGAGGCCCCATGTGAGGCAGGTGGGACCCAGAGCTGGCAGCACCTGTGACGGGGGCTCCTTACACAGCCACTGGCAAATGTGGGCTCCTCCTGTGTGCCAGGAGCGGTACTGGGGAGCGGCTGGGAGGAGGGGCGCCAGAGGGCCTCCCTGCAGTGCCGGGTGTGATGGGCGAGTTGTGACCAGGGACACAGGTCCTCAGATGGTCCAAGGAAGAGGTCCGGGGCTGCTGTCCTGAGGCCTCTGAAAAGGGAAGAGGGGAGAAGAGTGCTCTGGGGAGGGAGCACGGGCAATAGCAGGTGCAAAAGTGCTGTGCTGGGTGGGAGGCAGACCCGGCTGGGAACTTAGGAAGATGAGTCTACCTGGGCCGGGGTTGGGCGTGCTGAGGAGGAGGCAAGGACAGCCGGGAGGGCTGGGCCCGAGGAAAGCGGGGGATGAGTCACTCTGGTTGCTGCACCGTTGCAGCTCTGGCCCCAGCTGGCTCCGGCTGGGGACCCTGGGGACTCAGCTCCAGCACTGGGCCGGAAGCGCCTTCTCTGCGCCTTTGAGGTCCCCCCGTCTGGGAAGAGGGGCTCCACACGCTGCCCTAGTGGGGTTGGTCCAGGAGCCACAGAGTCCCAGCGTGGTGTCCCCCATCACCCCTTTTGCCTCCACTGACTTGAGAACAAGCACCAGACGCCTAAGCACTGGTGTGCGGGAGAAGACAGCGGCCTGCTTTAGTGCCCTGTGGCCGCAACAGATGACCACCAGCTGGGCGCCTAGAGATGACATCAATGGGCTCTCTCAGTTCAGGAGGCCAGAAATCCCAAATCAAGGCATGGGCAGGGCCACGTGCCCTCCTAAGGCCCTAGTGCAGGGTCCCTCCTGCCTCTTCCAGCTTCTGGGGGCTCCAGGCATTCCTGGGCTTGTGGCTGCGCCACTCCCATCTCTGCCTCTGTCTTCGAGTGGCTTCTCCCCATGTCTCTTCCTCTTATGTCTCTTAACTCAGATGGCCTCACCTCAAGAAGTATGTGTGTGCTCAGGTGCTCAGTCGTGTCCGTCCGACTCTTTGCAACCCTTTCCAGGCTCCTCTGTCCATGGGGTTTTCCAGGCAAGAATACTGGAGTGGGTTGCCATTTCCTCCCCCCATCTTAAGATCCTTCACTTACTTATATCTGCAGGCATCTTTTCTTTAAACAAGGTCACATTCTCAGGTTCTGGGGGACATGTCTTTTGGGGGGCTGCCATTCAACCCACCACAGGCCCCTGCCCTGATCCAGTGGAGCAGGACACCATCTCAAGTCCTGTATTCCCCTGGAGCATGGATGTCACCCTTTGGTGTTAACAGCTCCACGTGGACGAGGTTTGGCCGCTCCAGGCCCCCGGGGAGGGATGCTGTTGGAAAGAGACTCAGGCCAGGCCTCTAGGACTGCCAGGCAGGATGACAGCAATGGTGGCCAACACTGAATGAGCTCAACTTCTTTCTTTTTAAAAATATTTTTATTTATCCTTTTTGGCCATGCCACATGGCCTGCGGGATCTTAGTTCCCCGACCATGGATCAAACTCGCGCCTCCTGCAGTGGAAGCGCAGAGTCTTAACCACTGAACCGCCAGGGAAGTCTCTGATGAATCCAACTCCTTGCCACTCCCTGCACTGCCTCCTTTCACCCTGCAAGAGCCATGGAGGCACTGCACGAACGAGCGGGTGAGGGCTGCTTGCCTGGAGGGCACCTTTGGTGGAGGGGCCAGAGGGACATACAGACCCCACTCTCGTCCCCCGTCATCGGCCAGACGGCGACCCCTCCACCCAGCTCGCCCAGGCTGTCACCCAGAGCAAGGGGCTTTTCTCCCCAGCATGTGTTCGTTCTCCAGTTCCACGCAAGAAAGCAGGACTGAACCAGGACGTCTCATTGCTTTACCCTGCTTGGGGGCCACAAAGTCTAACTGGCAATTGGGATCACTTTAAAACCTGCCTGTGGCCTGATTTTTTGACCAGTTTGTCTTATTGCTCGTTTGTTACTCGAAAGAGTATTTGGGCATGTTAAGCCGCTTCAGTCTTGTCTAACTGTGTGTCGCTATGGGCTGTAGCCCGCCAGGGTCCTCTGTCCGTGGGACTCTACAGGCAGGAATACTGGAGTGGGTTGCTGTGCCCTCCTCCGGGCGGGGGGATCTTCCTGACCTAGGATCAAATCCATGTCTCTTACATCTCCTGCATTGGCAGGGGGGTTCTTTACCACTAGCGCCACCTGGGAAGCTCAATCCAAGGCACACTCAGTATCTAAACTTAAACTAGATGATGCCAAAAAAAACTAGATGATGCCAACCCTGCCCAGGTCCAGCCTGGTCTCATGCATCCCTCTGTCCTTTGCCCTCAGGGCCACTGAGGGCCATCCCGCCAGCCTGTGCCCTCCCCTCCAATGCCCACCCTGTGGCCTGGATCTTAGGCAGGCCAGAGGAACCCCGGGTGCCTAGCGAACAGTGCCCCCAGCAGGAGGCTGGACTTCCAGAGGTTTCAGTGCAAAGAGGGCTGAGGCAGGCGGAGGCGTCCTGGTCACGGATGGGGGCGGAGGCGCCTCACCAGTCCGGCTGCCATCCTCAGCAGCCCTGGGTGAATGGCCGTCGGTGACCCTTCCCCTCATCCTTCCTGCACCTTCACTCTCATGGCCTCTTTTCCCTGCACGTTCCCACCTCATGCACTGGCCTCTGGTCTAGGTGGCCAGCCATGGAGATTCTTGGCTGGACCCCCGTCCAGAAAGGGTGACCTTTGGTTCAGAAGTGAAGGATGGAGCCAGACCCCAAAGGCTGTGTATTGTGCGATGCCCTCCTATGAAATGTCCAGAGCAGGCAGATCGCGAGATGGAAAGTAGGTTCGTGGTCGCCAGGAGCTCGGGGGAGGGGAGAATGGGGGTGACTGGCTCGTGGGTACCAACCTCTTTTGGGGGTGATGAGATGTTCGAGAACTGGATGGGTATGGCAGTCACACAGCCTTGTGAATGAACTTGATGCTACCTAAGTGTTCACTTTGAATAATTAATTTTATGTGCATTTTACTTCAAAAAAAAGGGCTTCCCAGGTAGCGCTAGTGGTAAAGAATCCACCTGCAATGCAGGAGACCTAAGAGACGTGGGTTTGATCCTTGGGTCCGAAAGATTCCCTGGAGGAGGAAATGGCAACCCACTCTAGTATTCTTGCCTGGAGAATCTCATGGACAGAGGAGCCTGGCGGTCTATAGTCCATGGGGTCGCAAAGAGTTGGACACAACTGAAGTGACTTAGCAGGCACGTACCTTAAAAAAAAGAAGTGCACACACAGAAGGTGAAGGACAGGGAGGTGGAGTGGGGCACTGTGGTGGCCGGCCCCGCTGAGAATCGCTGAGAACTGGCAGGCCAACCAGCATACTGCCTGTATCCTTCTGCGCTAGAATAAGGTTTCTCTCCTCCCTGGCCTTGAGTTACTTTCAGAAAGGGTTTTCCTAACACCTCCGCCTTGAGAAGGGGAGGCGGGGAGGGAGGAAGGGGCCTCCGTGCAGGAGTAGGTAGGGGTTGGGTTTGTGAAGAGGCAGGGTAGGGGCAGCAGGGCAGCTCCTGCCGGAGTGAAGGGGCTTTGCGGGTGCCAGAGGACAGGACATGGGTCACCAGGTGGGCAGAGCCCTGGGGGTGCCCCCACCCACGCCTGTCTCTTCCCCTTTCTTCTCCGCTAAGCTGTGAAGGTCCCACATCCCCCGGCCCGAAGCCTGTATGAGGGTGCGCGCCCTAGCACCCTATTTGGTGCCATCTACTCCGGTGAGTAGCTGCCCCACAAGTCCCTGGCCCAGCTGGGGTTCCAGCAGCATGTCTGGGCCCTCAGTCCCAGCCAGAGGCTCTCCAGCCCCACCTCACCAATCTCTCCCCAGCCCAGCCCAGACCCGGAGGGCCAGAGACGGTACCTCGAGTAACCACCTCCTGGCACCCAGTGCCCTGAGCACATGCTCCCAGCCATCCAGGGCTCCAGCTTCACCCTCCAGCCATGCCTCCTTGTCCAGGTGCCATCCCTGGGGCCTAGGGCTGGTGTCTATATTCCCGGAGTCCAGCCAGCTGCAGGGGTGGGATAAAGGAGCCTGTTCATTCCTTTGGGCCTCTCCGCTGGGGGCCCGAGAGCCAAGTGTGTGTGGGGGGCAGCTGAGGTCACGACTCCTCGGGTCTCATCACCAACCTGAGCGCGTTTTACAGCATACAGAGCACTTCCGTCCCCTCTCACCTCGCCCAGTCCTCATCTCATACTGTCCCGGCTGGGGAGGCCCCTACAGCCGGGGAGCTGAGGCACAGCGACCTTGAACTGGGGGATTCCCGGGCTCCAAGCCCCGCTTTCTCTGGGCTGCCCTGCTCCACGTCCTTGTCCACCTCTGGTTTCATTGATCTTGGATGGATAGATGAAACTATCCATCTGCCAGGGTGGATACTCCCACTTGCACCCAGGAAGTGTCAGATGCCTGGGCTGGATGATCGATCAGAGGTGAACACTTCCAGTCTTGGGGCTTTTCTTTTCCTTAGTGGGGATGGCCCCGTTGGGCCAGCTTCTCTCCAGAATGTTCTTGGGACACATCGTGGGTCTCTCCTGCCCCCTGCACCCCGCAGCCCTGCCCCCCCGCGCCAGCATGGGCTCAGCCGCCTTGGGCCCTCCGCCGACGATGCCCGCTCGGCCTCCATCTCCCCCGCCCGTGCTGCTGCTGCCACCGCTGACGCCGTCTCTGCAGGACCCCCAGCCGGCCCCAGGGGCTGCCAGGCACCCACGGTTCCTGCGCCTGGAGTCCCGAGCCAGAATGCAGTCCGCCAAGGAGCCCAGCAACCCGTGAGTCCTGCGCCCACCCCCTCCCCACCAGCATCTCCACCCTCCCCCCGCCCCCACCCCAAGGCAGAGACACTGCCCTGGGCTAGGTGCGGGCGTCCTGGGCTTAAGGGAGGGGTCTCCATAAGGGACTCATTTTGATCCAGTAGCTGCTTTTAACTTGCCTATGGATACACACAACACAATCCATCTCATGCTACGTTTCATGGAGAACACAGCTTTCTTGCTAGACTGAATTTTCCACTAAATCAATTTAAATTCCTTGACGCATTTTCAATACAGCACAGTTAACAGTGGTTTTAAAAAACAATCACATCCCTTTTTTATTTTGCTGAAATGATTTCATCAGAATGCGTTCCAATTACAGCCAATACCGCTGTCCATTTTCTTTAGCGAGCGTTATTTCTACCTGGACCTGTTTTCTTATGGGAACCAGATTTTACTGCATGCATGCTTTTTTACTGTCTGTTGACTCTTTCCACCAGTAACACTGTTATGAGTTGGGTATTTAAAGAATCTGATTGTTTGTATTTACTTCTGGCTAATCCACGAGGCACTTGGAGCAAAAGCCCTGGAATCCTCCAGGACTGCTCCATCCTGTTTGGCATCTTGCTGGTTCTTTGGGTCACGTGCTCACTGTCTTTTGCTGACTGACCAGCAAAGCATGCTCATCTGGGGTTCCGTGACTGGCCCCGGGGCGAAGAGCGGAGCGCTCATCCCTGCCTGGTGGGCCCCTCAGCCTGAGTGGTTTCTGCCCCTCGGATGGTTTTGTGAATGTGTGACCGCACCACAGGGCTTGGGAAATCTTAGTTACCCGACCAGGGATCGAACCCCTGCCCCCTGCATTGGAAGTGCAGAGTCTTAACCACTGGACCACCAGGGAAGTCCCTGGATGGTTTATTGGTCCCCCTTCTCCCTCTCCAGCTTCCCTGGTGGTTCAGCGGTAAAGATTCCACCTGCAATGCAGGAGATGTAAGAGACACAAGTTCGACCCCTAGGTCGGGAAGATCCCCTGGAGGAGGGCATGGCAACCCACTCCAGTATTCTTGCCTGGAGAATCCCATGGACAGAGGAGCCTGGTGGGCTACAGTCCAGAGGGTCGCACAGAGTCGGACACGACTGAAGCGACTGAGCGCGCAAGCTTCTCCCTCTCGGGCTGGCTGTTTCTCCCTTTCCACCCCTAGGCTGTCCAGTTGCACCCTCTACCCTTTGTATGCTTCCTGACACTACTGTCACGTTCCACAAAGACTAAAAAAAAACTTCCTTCTGCCTGGTTTTGGGGCACACCTCTCCCTAGCATCCACCAGGGGCCCCTGGGGTGGTAGAGCGAGGCAGGGAGTGGGGTGGGGGGGGTGAGCTGCCCCGGGGATCCACCCTGGGGGCGTCAGGGTGCTGGCATGGCGGAGGGTCCTCTGGACCTGTGGCCAAAGGCGTCCTGGGTGCTGCGTGCCTACCCCCCCACCCCAGTGGCCCCCCAGCCCTGCCTCCCGTCCCACACACCCCCTCCTGGACCTGACCTCTCTTTTCTTTCTCCGAGGACTGTGTCCAAATGAAGCCGAGCATTTCCTGAGCCCCGTGACCCACGCCGCCTTGGGGGATACTGGCCAGTGCAGCCCTGGCCCCACCCCCGTAGCAGAGATGAGTATTTTTATCAGCTTCTCCCCAGAATAAAATCTTTTACTTTTCGGACTGTGGATGAGGGTGACTGGCCTCATGCCCTCTGCGGCGGCTGGCCTTGCCCGTCCCACGGGTGGGTGGGCCTGTCAGCCCCGCTCCGGCCACCACCCCGCTGGGGTGGAGTCTCCACAGAGAATCGTGGCAACCCTCCCCTGCCCCATCACACACGGCCCCGCGGCACAGTGCCCCATGTAGCCCCAGCCCTGAGAGGTGGGCAGAGCAGGGCCCTGGGCAGAGGCCGTGGTGTGACTTACCCAGGCTCACACATTAAGGCCTCAGCTCTCTGGCCACCTGCCCAGGAGGCCGTGCTTCTTGGGTGCTGGACACCAGTGTGAGGAGTCCAACTTCCAACACCTCTCACGTGTGACCCGGGCTCGGGCCAGAGGAGAGGTGGGGGCCCCAGGGAAGCGCCCGAGCCAGGCGCGGTCAGGCTTGTGTCCTGCTGCCTCGACCTGTGGGAACTCACAGCAGCCAAGCCCTGCTCTCTCAGCCCCTGGTAGCTGCCTTCCAGCCCGTTTTTCCAATTTACTGATGGAGTCAGTGCTTGAGTGGGCTCCTGCAGCCCATGGATGGAGGGGTGGGTCAGGTAGGGCCCTGAGTAACCGTGTGCCCAGGGACAGATCTCCTGGGTGCTTGGGAAAGAGGGGGGCGGTGAGCCCCTCCTGCCGCCAGCCGGGAGCAGTCTTGAAGATGACAGTTCTGTCCCCTGTGGGGGCTGGTGGGGAAGCCAGCCTTTGGCCTGATCCCAGGCGGGAGTTGGAGGCAGAATTCTTGCCAAGGAGAAGGGCAGAACCCCCCTCTCCCCTGTCCCAGCCCCCGGAGGTGGGGGGACCTGCTGGCCTTGGCAGCTGGAAGGGCGGCGCTGCACCTCCTCCTGGGACTGATGCTCAGCAGGGTGCCCACCCTCCAGCAGGAGAAGGTGCTTGGGGAGTGGGTGAAACCGGGGCTGGGGCCAGTAGAGGGGTCATTTTTGAAGGCCCTGGGTCCCAACTCCTCCTCTGCTGGGGGACCACAGTTCCTGGCTGGGCCAGGCTGCACAAGGAGTAGCGTGACCAACTGTCCTCGTCTGCCTTCGAATGAAGGGGGATCCCTGGTACTTTCTGTTTTAAGGCTCAGATGAGGGGATTCCTTGGTGGGCCAGTGGGTGGGACTCCAGGCTTTCACTGCCAAAAGCCCGGATTCATTGCCTCCTTAGGGAACTTAAGATTCCACAAGCCGTGTGGTGCAGCAAAAAAAAAAAAATTGTTTACAAAAACATTTGCTAGGTTTCAATGTTTCAGGAATGCAAATTCCCCATAATGGCTATTTTGTTGGTGTTGTTGCTGTTAAAAAAGCACATTAAAACTTGCCTCCCTGGAGGTCCAGTGGTTAGGACTCCAGGCTTTCACTGCCAAAGGTTCCAGGTTCAATCCCTGGTTGGGGAACTAAGATCCCCAAAGCCTTGAGGCACGGCAAAAAAAAAAGACTGAGATGAATCAGCCCTGTGGAGAGGGAGGTATGTGGGCTGGCCTGGCATGAGGGGCACAGATGAGATGGTTCTGGCCAAGCAGAGGGTCCTATGTCCGGGTGTTGCATGGTGACTGCTCTGCACCCCAAACCCAGCCCCACAACCCACCAAGGCAAATGAAGGGGTCACTGAACGTTTTCTTCCTTTCAAAGACCACAGACTCATTAACCCTAAGGTATACACAACTGACGACAGCAAACATGTGTCCTGAACAAGATGGTCTGCCTTGGAAAAGGCACCACCAGGACCCCCCCTTGTGGCTCAGCTGGTAAAGACTCCACCTGCAACGTGGGAGACCTGGATTCAATCCCTGGGTTGGGAAGATCCCCTGGAGAAGGGAAAGGCTACTCACTCCAGTATTCTGGCCTGGAGAATTCCATAGACTGTATAGTCCATGGGGTCGCAAAGAGTCAGACACGACTGAGGGATTTTTGCTTTCAGGACCCCAAAGCAGGCCGCCAGGGGGCACAGGGAAGGCCTTCTGTGCAGGGATGTCTCAGGGGCACATGGGTCTCCCTGGCACCACTCCCTTGGCTGGCTTGAGCCCTGACTTTCCATGGATTCGAGAGCTCTAGACAGAGACCCTCCAAACACACACAACCTCCAGAGAAGGGCTTCTCTTCTCTCTCCCCTTCCTCTTGCTCTCAACTTTCCCTAGATCCACAGAAAATGAGCCCCCCACCAAACATCTGCACCTCATATTTCCGAGAGATGAGAAATGGCCAGAAAGCCAAGCAGAACTCTGCCAGCAGGCTCCCGGTGCCTTGTGCTGGGTTGCCAACAGGCCTCGGCCATCCAGGGAGTGGGCCCTCCCTCACCCGCCCCAGCAGGACCCAGCACCCTTACACCCCTAAAGGAGCTGCATTCTTCTAAGACTTACTTGAAATACTTATATTTCCCAAACATCAGCTGTGGCTAAGCAACCGGAGACCTTTCCAAATGCAGGAACTGGAAATAGCCCTTGCCTCAAAAGATCTCCTTTTAGCCAACCCGGGCGGCCTCCCCAACACAGACACCAGGAGGAACTGGAGTCAAAGCCCTCATCTGTCCTCAGAGGAGTCCGGCTATGAAAAGACCCTCAGAGACCTCCAGGGCCACAGCGGCCCCGCCAGCCGCCGGGCTGGGGGGCAGTCTTGGGAGCCGCGTGGTTTTCTGCTTCGGCCACAGTGTGTTCTCAGTGGCCCTGAGTGTCTGCCTCCACCCAGGGGAGTCTCAGAACAAGCCCTTCTCTTCACAGCTCTGAAGGAGGCGCCCTGCCTGCCCGCAGAAAGCATTTCAGAGCCTCCATTCACCCTTCCGTTCCCCCCTACCCCCACAGTGCAGGACATCTACTTTCACAGATGCTCCCGGGGAAGAGCAAATCTCCTTCAGAGACGCCAGCGGACTTGAGGTGCGAGGCGGATGCAGCCGCCATGGTGGCCAGAGGGGTGGCTGGCCAGCCAGGGCCAGGCTGGGAGGCATCCCCGCCGTGATGGGTCAACTTCAACCAGCCGCAGCCTTAAGGGAACTTGGGCCAGATGTGACAAACGTCCAAGGTAAGCCGAAAGTGGAGCTTTTCATGTAAACTGATTTTAGAGTGCTGGCAGACAAACCGAGCCCGACAGCACACACCAGGGGCCTCCAAGACTGCAAACCCCTAAGATGGCCATGCCTGATCATTTAACGGGCTTCCCAGGAAGTGCTATTGATAAAGAACCCGCCTACCAATGCAGGAGACATGAGCAACGCGGGTTCGATCCCTGAGTCGGAAGATCCCCTGGAGGAAGGCATGACAATCCACTCCAGTATTCTTGCCTGGAGAGTCCCATGGACAGAGGAGCCTGGTGGGCTCGAGTCCATAGGGTTGCAGAGTCGGACATGACTGAAGTGACTTTGCACGTGTGCACAATCATTGAACAACAGGGCCCACCCACGTCAAGTCACATGGGGAGGCCAGGCCTCCATGCCCATCTGCAGTCGCGTCCCCTCTTCAGAAAGGAGAGCTCCAGTCACATTCTTCCCAGGAACCTCTGGGATGCAAATGGTGTTTTCAGTGGAATTTTTGGAAACAAAGTGATGGAGCTCGAGTCTGGTGGTCAGGTGGGTGGTGGTGAAGCCCAGAGGCTGGTCTTCTCCATGTGTTGTTGAGGCGGCTCCCAGGAAGTGCTGAAAGGGACAGCTAAGAATGGCTGTAAATGTGACTCTGTTCCGTTTGTACCTCATCTTTGCATTTTAGCCAGTTTACACTTGAATGTTTGGTAGGAGGTGGTTACTGACTCCTCCGGTCTTGCTTCTGAGCCTCCAGGCTTGGGGAAGTTGAAGTTTCAGGTTCTGTGTTGCCCTTGAGTTCCGTCCACGGTGTTTGACATCTACATGGGCCCACCTCTGCCTCCCCTCGCGTTTCCCACCCCCTTTTGCAGCCCTTTGCCTGTCTGGGAGATACTCAGCTGCAGAGGAGGGAGGGTGTGCGTGGGGCTTCCAGCACACCTAGCAGGGCCCGGGCACTGCCTTAAAGCTCCAGCCATGCCCTCCGCTCCCTCCTGCTCTGGTTCCCACCGTGTCCCGGGCCCTTGTTAGAAATCAGATTCCTTGCCTCAAGCATCCAGGGGACACTTGTGCTCTACAGGCTGGAGGGTCACAAGTCTAGTGGGCTCCCAGTTGCCACGAGGGGCTTGTGTTCCATCAGTCACCTGGAAGCTGCTCAAGAACAGCTAAGACTAAGTGACGTGCTGTAATTTACCCTTTTAAAGTGTATGATTAAAAAAATAATGAAGTGTATGATTGAGCGGTTTTTAGTACATTCACAAGTTGATCACTAATGCCCTAGAGAATGTTTAAAACTGTATTGTCAGAACCCCACCCCAGAGACCAAAGCTGTGGGACCCCAGGGGGCTGCGCGGAGGTGCTGCCGTTCTCTGCTGGGGCGACTTTGCCTGCAGACACTTCTAGTTGTCCTAACTGGGTGCTGCTACTGGTTCCAACTCGTGGAAAGGGGTCAGGGGTGCTGCACAGGATGCCCCAGTGTCCAGAATGCCCACGCTGGAAAAGCTGCATATACAGGAAACGTAAGTCCTTCCAGGACCTCCTCCTGGGGCCTCCAGTAGCCTCTGGAGACAGAAGTGGGCTTGGTCAGGTTGGGATATTCTCACCCTTGAATGTCCACGGGGCACGTGAGGATCCTGTTCGAAGCAGATTCTGATTCAGGTCTGGGCTGGGATTAGAGAGGAGGTCCCGCATCTCTGACAAGCTCCCATGGGACGTGGCTGGTCTGGTGACCACACTTTTGAGTGAGGGTGTGGTTCCCACAGGCCACTCAGAGGCCTGCCTGGGGGGGAGCCTGAGTGGGCATTCTGGACTGTGCACCCTCTCACGTGGCTCCAGTGGGTATGGCCACCTCAGTCGCCTGCCCACTGGGGAGCTCACACTCACCCCCAGAAGCACTTCCTTGCCTCTACATGTTTTTCCTACACTGGGAAAGGGGTGTGGCAGCTTCCTGAGAACGGTCTTCCCTCCAAAAGGATGAAAGAGCTGCAGTGAAGGTTCAGGAGCTCAGGACAGCCTCCTCCCTCTCCCCATAGGCACCCCAGGCAGAGCTGTGCCCCCCCCCAAGGCCATTAGAAGGGTGGGCTTCAAGGTGAGGACACGAGCAACAGCTGCAGCAGGGGTGCTGCAGTCAGTCGGGTGACCAGTGGGGGCCTCCAGTGGCCCATAGAGGCTGTCCAGACCCCAACAGGGCAGCAATGGGCTGCGTGGCAGTGTGGTGACCCCAGGGAGCGGGAGCGGGGCTGCCGCTGGCAGGTTCTGAGGCGCCTGCCAGGCAGATCTTCCGGAACAGAACTCTCCACCCCAGGCACCATCCAGTGGGCCGAGTGGGGTAGGCCTCCTGACAAGGGAGTCAGGCCACTGGTGGCCATCTGCAGGGGCCCACATTCCCCCAAGTTCCAGGTCCTCACCAAGGGGTGCAAGATCTAGGCTGCCTTCTCCCAAAGCTGCCCCAGGGACGCTCACCCTTCCTCGGTAGACTGTCCAGGGCAGAGTCGTGCCCGGGTTCTCCCTGAGGAGGAGGTTCCTGTGCAGCCTGGCGTGGGAGCAGCTGGGGATCCACTGCCTGTTGCCCCTGAGTGGTTTGTCTCCTTGGCAACCAAAGGTTTGCGCAGCAGCTTGGACTCTGCCCAGCCTCATTCAGTCCCTGTTGCTGGCCCACGGGCTCTGTATCCATGCCTGCTATCTTACCACCGGGGCTGTGGCCTGCACCTCCCCCAGGGAAGGGCCCTGCCCCACCCAGCATGACTGCGGGGGTGGGGCTGAAGGTCTAGTCTGCAACTGACCACTGGGGCCCTAAAGACAGCGAGAAAAGTCCTTGTGTGAAACCCAGGCAGACCGGAAGGCAGCTGTTAGCCCTGGAGGTCGGGATCTGTCCAGTCGGACAGGGGGAAGGGTGAGCAGAGGCAAGGGTTCTGGGAACACAGGGCAGGAACTAACTTCATGGGAAAAGCCTGGGGTGGGCAGGAAGATTCCGGAGCACGTTGTGGTTGAAAAGACAGCGACAGACAGGAGTGGTGTGGAGCCAGGCGGGACTGGGGGGCTGGCCTCTGCTGGCACCCTCCCCCTCCACGTGGAGCCAGCTGGCAGCAAAGCTTAGGATACGAGGCACGACCACAGAGCCTGGTGGTGGTTTGGAACTCTTTCTTCTCCTTTGTTAAAAGAGGGAAAGGAACTGGGGATGGGGTACCCCCGGGCTCTGGGGAGGCATGCAGGCAGCCCCAGCAGGCAGGCGCTGGGGGATGGGTGGGAAGAGTCCTGGAGTTTCCCACAATCCTTTTCTCTGCAGGGAAGAGCAAGGCTGGCTGCCCAGGGAGCAGGGGAGAGGCGCAGGGCCCTGGGGGGAGGGGCGGCGGGCGAGGGGGGGCTCACTCTAACATGCAAAGTCCAGCTGCCCCATAAACTAGGTTGCTTCTTGAAGAGCGACATACATATAAATACACAGACACAGCTACACGCACACATGCGGAGAAGGCTCTGCGTTCCCGAGGGTGGAGATCTAGGCCCGCTGGCCCCGGGGAGCTCCAAGGCAGGAGCCGGCCAAGGCAGGGCGGACGAGTCCTCTGGGGAAGGCTGCTTGTTCTCCGAGCTTCTGTCCACCAGCACCCAGGTGACTCGGAACCGAATCCACGGAAGTGGGGCGCCGCAGGCCTGCGCCGCCGGGCACGCGTGCAGGCAGCCTGTGGGCTGGCTTGAGGGTCCGGTCTCTCCCCTCCAGGGCTCCGGGGAAAAGGGGTGCAGACAGAGAAGGGTAAAGGGGGCCCGCAGAGACGTCCTCTCCCCCGCCCCACGGGGTCCTGGCCTCCGGGAGGGGGGAGGGGCCTCCCTTATCTCTCGGCCTCCATGGCGGGGTGGGCCCTGGGTTCTGAGGCGGCCTGTTGGGGGGCCAGTGGCGGCCAGTCTGACGCCGGGGAAGGGGGGGCCGGAGTCCACAGGGGCGGCTGTGGCGGCTGGTGGTGCTGTGCGCCCCCTGGGGGTGAGGCCGCGGTCGGCCAGCCGGGTGCCGCGAAGCTGCCGGTGGCGGTGAGCGGGAAGTGCGGCGGCGGCGACGTGGCGGCCATCGGGCTGCCGCTGCCTCCGCTGTGGAAGCTCTCGGAGGCCTTGAGGCGGGAGAACATGGTGAGGGCGTCGGGGAAGTTTGGGGGCGTGGCGGGGGTGTTGGCGGGAGTGCACATCTGTGGGGGGAAGAGGGAGGGGGGTGAGTGCCCCTGCAGAAGGGCCCCTTCCCCAGTGCACCCCACCCCCGGGTGGCCCACCAGCCTGGAGCTCACAGGTGAGCGGAGCGGTGCCCACGTGGGCTGGCCCACGCTGCCTGCTGCCCGGCTCCCAGGAGTCCCTCCCAGCGGCTCCTTCCTCAGGTCTGGGCGGCTGCCCCCCACTCCCCCCAACCTGGTAAGAGTCCCACACGGATGCCCCTGGGGCTGCAAGGAAGACTTACCATCTGGTGGTGATGGTGGCTGTAGGGGATGTTGGTCTCTTGGAAAAAGGCGCTGAGGGCCGTCTGTAGGAACAAAGGACTGCGCTTACCCTCAGGACCCCAGTGGCCCTAGCCTGGCCTTCCTCGCCTCTCGCCACCCCCCAGAGAGGTGCTGTGGAGCCCTGGGCAGCTGGGCAGGGAGGACCCTCAGGACACTGCCTGCAAGCTGGCTGCCAGGTGCTTCCAACTTACCTGGTTTTGTCACCATGAGCGACCTGAGGGCCTCACGGGGAAAGGCCTCCAGGAGATTCTGGCCCCTATGGTCACCAACTCCATGGGCGGTGGAGAGTCCCTACTCCTTCCTGAGTTTCAGTTTCCTTGTCTATGAGCCAGAGGATGGCAAAGGCACCCCAATGCTGAGAGCCTGTAACCCACCGCTCCTCTCCTGGACTAGCCAAGGGACCCTGCCCTGACTCAGTTTCTCCTTCTGCACCAAAGGGACATGGGGCTAGGAGGCTGGCAGCCTCCCTCCCTGGCAGTAGTGGATCTGGCCGGGATTAAGTAGTGTGTTGTGGGTTTCACACTCCTATCCAGTCGTCACCCTCCTGCGAAGTGGTGGAGCAAGAGGAAGGCTGCAGTGGGGTTCGAGCCCAGGACTGTGAGAAGTGGGTGGGAAAGGGGGTGGAGGCAGCTCCGGGTCAAACCAGCTCCTCCAGTGGCCCTGGGGGGTTGGGGGGAGGGGCCCCCAGGGTGGTGGCCTCTGGTACTGGTGTGTCCTGGTTCGGCCCCTTGCAGGACAGGCGTCCAGGAAAATAAGGGAACCAGCTGCTCTTGCGAAAGTGCAGGGTGAGGGAGCCCATCAAGTATGTGAAGGGTCTGCGGGTAGCTCTGCCCTCCATGCCCCCCACCGCCTCATCTGCTGCCTCGGGCTCCCCGCCCACCATGGCCCAGCGCCGTCAGCCCCCTCCCCCACTCCCAACACACCCAGAAACCCAGCCTGGCTCCCAGGCTTACCCTAGGGGTTTTATTACTAGAGTAAATGCAAATGAATTATTCTGGGAATTTCCTGCTGGAGACGCCCTACCCCAATGTCCCCAAACAGGGGTGTGAGAGCTGGGGGTGGGGGGGAGAATGCATCAGTCTCTAAGCACCTCCTTGTGACACCTCCCCAGCCAGGAGCACCAAGGGACACCAACCCATTCCTCCCCCAGCGGCAGCTCCACAGGCAGCTGCAGTGTGTGAGCATTCCAGGGAGAGGCGGCTGCCCTTTTCCTGCCTTCCTAGAGCACCCCCAAACTTAAAGCACACAGGTCCCCCTCCCCCAGCAGCCTTCTGTCCTGATTAACACCTGAATCACAGAGAATATGACCCCAAAACAGGCCTCCTTCTGGGCCAGCCCTCAGCCCAAGTGGCTGCCAGCCAGGGGTAGAGGGCACAGAGTTGGGGGTGGAGGCAAGGAATCCCACTCACTCCCAGGAAGACCTAAGGGTTGGATGTTCACACCCCATTTTTACCCTAAGTGAACCTCCCTACTAACCACGTCCCCATTTTACACATGGTGAAGCTGAGATTCAGGGAGCCCAGGACTTGTACCATGGGGGCCATCAAAGCCCCCCAGCCTGCAAGCTGTTCCTGCCCGTCCTAAGATTAGAGTTTCCCCAGGCATTTTAATCTTCAAAGATACATTTTCAATTCCAGTGACCAGGAGACACCAACCCCGAGTGACTACTGGCCTGTGCCAGGGTCTGTGGGCAGGGCTGCTTCCCACCAGACACCTGCCCGCCCAGCCCAAGCCGAGGGGGGGAGGGGGGAACGACAGGACATGTATACAGATGTGGGACTCCAGCAAACTACCATGAATGTGGTTTTGCAAGTTTTGCCACATCCAGCTCTAGATTAGGAAGCTTCCTGCAGGGTGGGGCTGCTGGGGTGGGAAGGGGGGCTGCCCATGCACTCCTCGGAGGTCAGCTCATGGCCCCCAGGTACAACGAAGGAAACTGAGGCCGCAGGGTGGGACCTGCCCAGAGAGAGCGAGTAGTGTCCCATTTTGTGATATGAGGACCACCCCAGGATTAGCCCTCAGGTCTCCGAGATCTCTGGTGGGAAAGTGAGCAAGGATTCTTTTGAGTGGACAGGCCACTACCTCCCCAGATTGTCCCAACCTTGGGGCAGGATTTACGATCTACGTCCCACCCCCAGGAAGCTCAACTCCACAGCCCCCAGGCTCCCTATCCCTCCTCTGGCCAGGAGTACCTTCCCTGAGCTGGCTTCCCATCTAGAAACCAGGCTTCCCATCTAGAAACCAGGCTTCCCAGCCCAGGCTGGGCACAGACTTTGCAGACTGTGACTGTGGCCTTACACCTGTGAGGGGTGGAGCTCAAGGGGCTCTGGCCTCTTCCCTAGATGCCATCCCGGGTTATTTCTGGGGCAGCTGAGTTGGGAAGGCCAGGTGGCCTTTTGGCAGCACAAGCCCTGGGCACTAGTGCTCTATGGGTCAGGGAGGCCTGAGGAGGTGGGGGCCAGGCTGGGGCAGCCCCACCTCCCGCCCAGCTGGCCGAAAGCTACTGAACCGTGTACATCAAGCCCTGGGCTGTGCAGGCAGATTCGGCAGCCAGCACAGGAGGGCACCTGGATACGCCTCCGGAGCGGGGTACACAGATCACACCCTTAGTTGTCGTGTGGGGCTCTGACACACCACCTGGACACCGTCTGCAAAACGGTGACCTATGTGTACACGGAGCGCACACAGCCCGCACCCGCGCCGCGGGGTGGACTCCGTGTTTACACACACAGACGCCAACATGCCCACACGTAGCGTGGCGCGTACGTAAATACAAATGCATAAGTACGTGAACACGCGCCGCCGAGCTGCCCACCGGGCACGCAGACCCTCAGACCCACACACACCGGACGGCTCCACCCGCGGGCACAAGGCTTCCAAGGTGGGGGCGGCGCGGGCCCAGTTCGGCCCAAGCCACGGGCGCCCTCCTTCCGGCTGCCGGGCCGACTGTCCGTCGGGGCCTCAGCGCCGCCCCACCCTGGTCGTTACCGAACAAAAAAAGGGGTCCCCGGAACCCGATCGCCCGGGTAATCTGGGGGGTGGGGGGCGGGGACTCCGGGCCCGGCGAGGGCAGGGCGCCCCTCCCGCCCACCACGCGCGGGCGGCGTTTCCGGGGGCCGCGTAATCGCGGCCGCGCTGCTGGGCCTGACCCGCACGCCGCGTGTGCGCGCCGGGGCCCGGCCGCCGGGGCGCGCGGCCGCCGGGACACCGGGGCCGAGAGCGCGGGCCCGGCCCCGGCGGAGCGCGCCGCGGCACGTGTCCACACCCGCCCGCACAACCCCCACAGCACGCGCCGCTACGCGGGACGGACACCCCGCGCCCCGGGCCCCGGCCGCGCACCTCGAACTGCCAGTGGGCCGCCTGCAGCAACTGCTTCGCCTGGTCGGCCGCGCAGCCGGCCGTCAGCACGAACTGGTTGATCATAACCTGGTGCTTGAGCTCGTCCATGTTCACGGACATGGCGCCGCCGCCGCCTGCCCGCTCCAGCCTCCCGCCACGGCGCTCTCCTCCGCCTCACGCGTCCACCATTAGCGAGCCGGCTCCGGCTAATACAAATATTTACTGTGCGGCTCTGACTCACCCAGCCTCGCCTCGCTCCGGGCCGCGGGCGGCATGCTGGGAGATGTAGTTCCGCGCCGTTTCCGCCGCGCTCGCCCGGGCATGCGGGCCGGGCCGGGCCCGAGGGTGTGTCCTGAGTGTAGGCGCCTACTTAGTGTGCAGAAACTGGACGGGCTCGTGCCCAGGCCGTGACTGCACCGATTTGGGTGGGGTGGTGGTGGCCAAGGAAGCGGGGGCTACAGACCGTGCACGGGCGCGAACGCTGGCTGCGGGTTGTTTGCCAAGAATCCAGGGTCCCGAACCCCAGTGTGGCTGGCATCCCCCGTGTTGACTAGGCGCCCTATTTTTGCACAAATCATCAACACGAAGGCCGTAGGCCCCGAAAGCCTGGCACACTCCGTTCACTCGCTCAGTCGTGTTCGACTCTTTGCGACCCCACGGACTGCAGCATGCCAGGTCTCCGTGTCCATTAGGCACCTACAAATACTTGTTCAGTGATGAATGAATCTGCCCTTTAGGGTTCTACTTCCACCGCCACCAGGGAGCCTTCCAAGTCTTCCCCAACACCCGTGGACTGGAAGCCTGCATCTCCCACTTGTGACGCTGGTCCCTCCCTCCCTGGCCCGACGGTGAGCCAGGCACAGGAGGCCTGAAGAACGCTGGAGGAAGGACTGAGGGCTGGGACTGACAGGGGAGGTCTGGAGCCCCGAGGTACCCCTCCGCGCGACACTCTCACTTTCCCACGCAAAATCTCGTGCACTTAGCCGGAAATCTCGACTCTTAGTGTGTGGGCGCTAGGACCGCTCGGAGCCAGTTCCGGGGCGGCCCCCGAACTTCCATTCCCAGGATGCCCCGGTTTATTTGCATCTTTCAGTCCCGAGTGACGTAAAGTGAGTGAGGCCGCTCCTTGGCCAATGGATGGCCGCGAGGTGTTAGGACCTGGCCATATAAGGTAAACAAAGCTGGCTGCCCAATGAGGCAGCGGCGGGGGCGGGCACTGGGTAGGGGGCGGGCGGGGGCGCATCACGTGGAGGGCGGGGGCGGGGCTGAAGAGTGCGGGGGGTTGGGGGGGATGCGGGCCGTGTTTACAGCTCCACACACACCGTTTCCGGTTGAGGTCGCGGGTTGGGTGTGCGGTGGAGGGCGGTGGAGGGCGGCGGGGGGGGGGGGGGTGCCCGGGGGCGGGGTGCCCAGCGTATTTGGAACTGGGGCTGGGGCTCGGTCGCCCCGGCTCTGATTGACCTTATTCCGGTTCCCCGCGCTGCCTGGACCCTGGTTTCTTTAGTTGAGCAACTATTTATTGGGCCCTTACTCTGTGTTTGGCTCTCAACTGGCCCCAAGCGTGCAGAGAACAAATTCTAGTAGAAGGATTGGATGGTGACTAGGGTGGAGTGGGACGTGTGTCGAAAATCCCTAGGACTGGTGTAGAATTTGCAAGTGTGGAAAGTGCCTTCAGGAAGCAGCGACAGGCCCTGGAGATGGCGGGTTAAAGGCCATTGAATGGTTTTGGTACATCTGATCTCTTGTCCACGTTAGAATCACTGTGGCTGAACAGAATGGAGACCAAATGGTGGTAGACAGGTCCAGTACGGTTAGGTGATGTTCTGGGTGTTAATCTGGTTCCAGGGGAGCCTGCCCCTGCCCAAGGCCTTGTTTCAAAATTGGACTGAGTGGAGGGCTCTGAGCTTGTTTCCTCATTTGTACAATCCTCATAGCTCTCCCAGGGCTGCTCTGGGCCATCTGGACAACTGTAGGAAACTCAAGCCCCATTTTAGAGATAAGGAAACTGAGGCTGGGATCCAGACCTCCTTACACTCTTGACAGTGTTCAGAGCCTGTGTAGAAGACCAGGCACCCAGTGCGCCAGCAAGGTGTGTTCTTGGCACAGGAGGGTGGGCACTGTCCTGGCAGGGCCCACTGGGGACTTTTCTTGCTTAGAGAGGCAGGAAGTACCTCCCTGCATGTCCCTCACCCTCATTTGAGCACCACTCAGGTACCTGCCCAGACTTGCCCAGCCCAGAAGACACTTTTCCAGGCCAGCCTGCTGACTGGGGTGGGGCAGGTGGGGACAGCAGGAGCAAAGGTCACCCTCCTGCCCCCTGTGGCCCCTGCTTCTGCCTGCTGTGGCCCCCCCAGCCAACTTGTTCTCCAAGGGGCAGCGGGGAAGAGAAAAAACAACCTTGTTTTCATCCAGGATCAGACTGGCTAGAGAGTGGACTTTGGATTTCTTAGCACGCTCAGATGGGGCCTGACAGCTGGGGCCAGTAGATGGGGGGAGGGCAGTATAAAGGGCATTTCCGGCAGTGCCTTCTTTTTACCTGACTGAGATCCAGGGAGGTTGAGGCTCTTGGCAAAGTTGGCATTGCTAGTTTATGGAAGGCCGGGGATCCCAGCCTCCTTCTCTCCAAGTTCATTCTTTCAGTCACCCCACAGATGTATTTATCCATAGGGTGCCTAGAGTTAGTCAGGGATTGTGCACCCTCGGAAGGCTTGAGAAGTCTAGTGGCTTGAGGGATTTACACTCAGGCCCTGAAGTGTGTACACTTCACCCCGCCTGAAGTGGGGTCTTTCTTTGTGTTTCAAAGGACTGGCTGCTGCCTAACTGAAAGTGAAAGTGACTCAGTTGTGTCCAACTCTTTGCGAATGCTACAGTGGGTAGCCGTTTCCTTCTTCAGGGGATCTTCCCAAACCAGGGATGAAACGCAGGCCTCCTGCATTGCAGGTGGATTCTTTACCAGTTGAGCCACCAAGGAAGCCCAAGAATACTGGAATGGGGGTAGCCTATCCCTTCTCCAATGGATCTTCCTGACCCAGGAATCAAACGGGTCTCCTGCATTGCAGGTGGATTCTCTACCAGTTGAGCCACCATGGACTCCCTGAATAACTGAGGGGCCTTGAGATGTGGCCACCGCCTGACCTCTGATCCCTGTCCCTGAACTCTTCTTGCCTACTAGATTCTAGTTGCACTGGCCTTTGGGCTCATCCATCTTCCTTAGCTTCTTAGGGCCTGCTGCCTCAGGGCTGTTGCACAGGTGGTCATCCTTGCCTGGAACCTGGGCTGACCCACTCCCTCAGAGTTTGCCTGGTTGGCTCTTCCTTGTATTTCAAGTCCTAGCTTAAATGTCACCTCCTCAGAGAAGCCTTCCCTGACTCCCCTAGCAATAGTAGGTCTCTCCTAGTATTTCACTGCACCTCAGGCCACTCCCCTATAGCACCCACTGCATTTTACTTATATACTTGCTCACCTTTAGTGTCTGTTTCCTCACTAGATGTTCCGTATCTGGTGGTTTTCACCATTTAATCTCTATTACCTGGCTCTTTGCCTGGCTCTCTGCTTTTCGTATAGTAGCTGCATGATAAATATTTGTTGAGTAAATAAATGAATCAGCCAAGATGTTGATAGTAGAACCAGTATCAAATCAGAAAGTGCCTGTCTTCCACTGGGGCATGGATAAGCACAGAAATGTATACCTAAAGTCCAAAGCTCTATTAAGAGGAGTGTTTTAATTGATCCAACACCAGCCCATGGAAATGACTTCCCTGGCCACGATCTGTAGAGAGGACTTTCTCTTAGAATTATTTGTCAGTGGGGACATCTAGAACCACAGTATGCTCCTTCCCTCCCCACAAGCAGGGAGACTGATCAATTGAATGTTGTGTTGGTATTATCAGTTTGTGTATATATGACTCAACAGTGTTACGTGGTTCAACAGAAAGAAATTTGAAGTGAAGGAAGAATGGTCGCATGGGGTGGGGGTATCCTCAGGCCCATCTGGGAGCAAGAGACAAGAAATCTGGTACTGGAGCATTCCTGTGTCTGGGTGATGGGGGTTGGGGGTGGCAGGGGAATGTGACATTAAAAGGAGTGGCCTGGTTCAAATTCCAGCTTTATTACCACTTATCTACTATGCAAACTGAGCGGGATACTGCACTTCTGCCAGCCTCTTTCCTGTTTCTGCTTATTGGGAATGAAAACAGAAACTACAGCAGAGAATTCACGGATGGTGTTCAACACCAACGTCTGGCAAATAGTAGCTGCTCAGTAAATGGGGTTCTTGGTTGCACGGCAGAGAGGTTAGTTAGATCAGGCTCCCCCAAGACCTGCACTCTCCCTTACAATCACACAAGTCCTTCACTTCCTTTGACTTTTGGCTTCCCATGCCCCCTGAAAATAGGAAGTTTGGATTCCGGAGGCCTGAAAGGTGTTAAGACTCACTGTAATGTGGACAGTGGTGAATTTACCACCTAAGACTCCTAGCCAGTCTCTGCCCTCCCTAGCTGCTTTATACATATACATATATATATATATATAATTTATTTGTTTGGCTGCGCAGGGTCTTGGTTGTGGCACACAGGATCTTTCAGTCTACACTGAGGCATGTGTAGTGTTTTAGTTGAGGCATGCAAACTCTTAGTTGCACTCTGTGGGATCCAGTTTCCTGACCAGGGATGGAACCCGGGCCCCCTGCATTGGGACCACAGACCACCAGAGAAGTCCTCCAGCTCCTTTCTTAATAGAACAGGCTTGTCTTGGGAAGCCACTTTCTTCTCAGAAGAGCCGTTTCTCACCTGAAGAGTTGTAAAAACAGATCCTCACTTCCCTGCTTACAGAGTTTTGTGTGAATCAAAAGCCAGGAAAGTACCTTGAGGAGGCTTTAACTCTAACCCTGATTCTTTTTGTTGATTTATAAATATTTATTCAAATGGAAAGTTGGGGAATTCCCTGGCGGCTCAGTTAGGGTCTAACCTGGACTCTCTGAACTTGGCTTAAGCACCCTTAAGCCCTCTCTGGTTTGTGCCTGTTTCCTGTCTCTAAAATGGGGAGAGGTTTACTGCCTCTGCAGGGGACTTGATGTCTTCAAAATAATTATTCTGGACGTGGAGACGGAGATGCCTTGAGTTCTGGAAAAGGCGCTTCGCTTCCCGTGTAGTCACTCCTCCAAGCAATCTTGAGTTCCACCCCCAGCTTTTCTTTGCCGGGTGGCAGGTGAGGGTCTGCCCTCTGCTGGCCGGGCCAGGAGATCAAACCCTGGGAAGTGGGGAGAACCATGGTAGCTCAGGAAGGTATTTCAAAGAGGGAGTAAATGGAAGGCGTTGATTCCTCGAGAGGTATCTGTACGGACAAACTATTAAAAAGTCAAAGACTTACGATGTTAGTCTCATGCCCTGGAATGCAAAGGGATGGATAGTTTGCAGGGCGGTTGATGGTCACTCCCCTCTGGACTCAGGTTCATTTGGTTTATCCCGGAGCGTTTGTCAACAACCTCGGCGAGCCTGGACGCGGAGCTTTCTGGGAAGTGTAGTTTCCAGTCGGGTTCCCCATGCCGCCGCTCAGCTCCCACAGCGCCGAGGGAACTCCATTTCCCGAGGTGCTTCGCGCTCCGGGGGGCGGAGGGCTGCCGTGGCGTCGGGCCCCGGGCCGAGCCGGGGGTGGGGGCTCGGGGAGGCCGTGCGCCCGCGGCCGTGGGCGAGCGTCCGTGCGGCCTGGTCCGGGCCGTGTCCGCGTGAGGACGCCGCCGCCGCCGCCGCCCCCCCAGCCTCGGCCTGGCCCGCCGCGCACCATGGGCTCCATCCTGAGCCGCCGCATCGCGGGCGTGGAGGACATCGACATCCAAGCGAACTCGGCCTATCGCTACCCACCAAAGTCCGGTGAGTGGCCGCCTCGATTCCGGGCCCCTGCTCCGGGCGCGGACGGCGAGGTGCGCGGGCTGGAGCGCGCGGAGCGGGCAGCGGGCGGCGGGGCCGGGGCGCGGGCCCCTCGGCGGAGGGTGGGCTGGGGGCTCTGCTCGGCCCCGCGGCCCTCCCTTGCAACTTCCCTGTCTGGGGCTCCACGCGCCCTCCACCCAGACCCTGGGGCGAGGGTCGGCCCGGCGCTGACTGCCGCGGCCCGGTCAGGTGACCTTGGGTCAGTCAGTTCGCCCCAGCGCGCTGCACACTCACACGGCTGCACACCCGGGAGACACTCGATAGGAAACCTCCCCAAGGACCGGGGTGAGGTTCTGGGGCTCGCATCTGGCAAGGATGTAACCCCATGCCCGGCGCTTTGCTTGCGCTTACAAAGTGGTCATTGTCAAAGGGATCGACATCACACCATTGCCGGTTTTCGCCTTCTTTGGTGGCTCGGTGTGAAGACCCGGCCAGGGTTCTGTTCAGTCTCCCGTCCCGTCTGGACAGAGGCTTAGCTCTCCCGTGACCTGGCGCGTGTGTTTAGTGGGTGGGTGGGAAGGCGCTGGGGAGTGGGCCTGGGCCCAAGGAGGCATTATTGTCCTTGGGAGAAGAGCTGGGAGTCCTTGCTGGAGAACCAAGGGATAGTTGGAGGGGACCTACCAGGTTCTCCAGCCTCCCGTTTTTGTGCTGAGAGATGTGGGCCGCCAGGAAGGAAGTGGCTTTCCCAGGGTCTCAGAACTGGACCAGGAGTCCGACTCCCAGGCCAGCTGTCCCCCTCCCATTCCCCCGCCCCCCAAACACACACATTGCTCTCCTGCCTCTCTCTGATGGTGAGAGTGGCCTGACCTGGAGGTTTAACTCGGGTTCCTCATGCTCCATCTCCTCATCTTGTCGTTTGCCCGGGAGGAGGACAGGGCATTTGGGCCTCATGGGGACTTTCAGACTGGGGCCTTTGATTCTGACTTATGAAGCATTGCAGCCCGTTGGTGGTTTCTTGGCCTCTCAGTTGGCCTGCGGGCATCCCCCAGGCCAGGTTTCCCCTGAGTATGGTCCAGGACCATGGGGAAGCTTGTTTAAGGTGCGTTAACCTGGGCCCTGCCTGACACTTCCTGGGGGTCTGCTGGAGGCCTAAGAACCTGCATCTAAAACCCATTCCCAGGGTGAGTTGACTGTCCACTCAAATTTGAAAACTGCTTTGCTCTCATTTTGGAAGGGGAAAGAAGGCAAGTGTCTGGGACCACCAGAAATAAACTGGGTGGGGACTAGCACAGTTGGGGCCAGTCAGAGCTGGGCAGAGGGCCATGTTCCCTGATAGGCATGGGAGACCTCCGTGCCTTCTTGATCTCTGGCACAAGGACAGGGCAGCTCAGGCTGGTGTGGGGATCCCCTGGAGGCTGACATCCCAGACCTGCTGGAGCAGTCAGTTGTTTGAAGTCATCCTCTTCCGTCTCTGATGTTCTTCCTGATAGCCTTTGGCTGAATATTCCTAGTCTTAGGCAAGCCACCTAGCCTGCTGGATCACAGTTTCCTCATCTGTAAAATGGGCTGCCCCTCGTACAGTGCTTAGCACCTAAGACGTCTTCACAAGTCAGCTGCTATATTGGCTTATAGAGGAAATTAGGTGATCCATTCAGACTCTGATAGCAGTTAGCTGTGGCTTGGCAGAGACAGCAGTAAGTTTAAGGTGGTCACCTGGGACCAGAGCAAGTCCCTTCAGTGGGGCACTTGGAAAATAAATCACACATGCAAGGCACTTAGAGCACTGCTTTTGGATTCTGCGTGGCTGACCTTGTTAATCAGTCCAGACACCCGTACCGATCCTGGATGCCCGAGTCAGGCACAACTAATCGACTGGGGCTGGCACCCAGGTGAATGCCATGCACACCTCAGTTTTGCTGCCAGCGAGGTTAGTGCCCTCCTGGGCCTGTCCATTCCGAAGGCTGTCCTTTCTGCTTCCTTATCCCTCTGGCCACCTTGTTCTGGGAGGCAGCTGGGGACCTAAGCAGGACTTGAGTATGTTTCCTCAAGAGTGGGCTGTGGATGGAAGGGGGGTTGAGATGATTTTAGGGACCCATGGACTGTATATCAGTTTATGAAAAGGTTGTTTTCTTTTCAGGTCTCTGCCAGTTTTGTTGATTGTGTTATGGACAAAGAATCATTGGAAGCTAGAATTTGCTTGAGATCTTTCTAAAAAATTTTATTTATTAATTTATTTTTGGCTGAGCTGGGTCTTTGTTGCTGCATGGGGTTTTCTCTGGTTGCAGCGAGTCGGGGATACTCTCAAGCTGGGGGAGTCGGGCTTCTCATTGCGGTGGTTCTCTTGTTGCAGAGCACTGATTCTAGCTCAGGCTTCAGTAGTTGTGGTTCCCAGGCTCCAGACCACAGGCTCAGTAGTTGTGGTGTATGGGCTCAGTTGGGCTTCTCTCGTGGCTCTGCTGTAAAGAAGCAGCCTGCAAATGCAGGAGACACCAGGGATGTGGGTTCGATCCCTGGGTTGGGAAGATCCCCTGGAGGAGGACACAGCAACCCACTTCAGTGTTCTTGCCTGGATAATCCTATGGACAGAGGAGCCTGGTGGGCTACAGTCCACGGCTTGAACCTATGTCTCCTGCATTGGCAGATGGATTCTTTACTACTGAGCCAACCAAGAAGCCCTGCTTACATTTATTTTTAACACCTCTGTAACACTGTCCAATTTTTTTTCTGACTTTATTGAGATATAATTGACACATAACACTGGATAAGTTTTAAGTATATAGTCTAATGATTTGATATGGGTATATATCCGGGAAATGATTATTGCAATAAGGTTACCTGTGTGGGGGTGGGGGGTGGGGGGCGGGGTGGAGAGGACTTTTAAAAATCTCCTGTCCAATTTTCTTTTGCTTCAAAACTTTCAGCGTGCACTGTAACAGTATGTAGCTTGAATTTAACAGCATTCACTTTGTTTTCATTGTATTTATTTATTTTACTCATAACAGCTTTATTGCGGTATCAGTCCTGTGCAGTACAACTCATTCTTTGTAAACCTGTGATCTGGTGACTTTTTGTAAGCTTACAGAATCGTAAAGTCGTCAGCACAGTCAGTTTCAGACCTTTCCATCACCCCTTAAAGTCTCCTTGCCTGGAGCCTGTTCACAGGCGCTCTCCGACGTCACCCCCACCCCTGCCCCATCCCTGATCTGGGTTCTGTCTTTACAGTTCGCCCTTCTTGGACATTTCGGATGCTGGAATCAGCCTTTTTGTGTGTGTGTCTGCTTCTCCCACTTGGCGTGACGTTTCTGAGGCTCACCCACGTTGTGCTTTCCTGTGTGGTTGTAACGCGTTTTGTCTATCTGTTCACCAGTTAATGTACACTTGAGGTGTTTTCACCTTGTGGCTGTTAGGAATCATGCCGCTGCCAACATTGGTGGACGCTTGTGTGGTGTGTTCAGTTCTGTTTGGTATACATCTGGGAGTGGAAGTGTTGGGTCATCTGGTTAACCTTTTGAGGAACTGCCAGACTGTTTTCCATAATATAATGGTTGCTTTATTTATTCCCATCTGCAGTATGTGAGGGTTCCAAATTCCCGGCATTCTTGTCAACCCTTATTATTGTCTACCTTTTTAATTATAGTTGTCCTAGTGAGTGTAAAGTGGTATCTCGTGGTTTTGATTTGCATTTTCCTGATGACTAATGCTGTTGACGTCTTTTCATGTGCTTATTGGCCTTTGTATATCCTTTGTGTGCTGGGTGGGGGGCAGGTTTGGGATGGGGTGGGCGTGGCTCAATTTGGCTTGTTCACTTTTTAGAAGTTGAATTGTCTTATTACTGAGTGGTAAGAGTTCTTTATGGGTTCCCGAGACGATGATACAATTCATGTATCAGCTCTGTGATTTGTAAATGTCTGGCAGCCTGCGGTTGTCTTTTTCATTTTCTTAATGGTGTCTTTTGAGGAGCAGTTTTAATTTTGGTGAAGTCCAGTTTATCATGTTTCTTTTTTTTTTTTTTTTGGCCACACCCTGTGGCTTGTGGGATCTTAGTTCTCCAAGGAAGGATTGAATCTGGGCCCTTGGCAGTGAGAATGTGGAGTGCTAACCACTGTACTGCCAAGGAATTCCCCAATTGTTTTAATGTTTAATGTTTTTGGAATTATACCTTAAAGATCTTTGCCTAGCTCAAGGCCACAGAGATTTTTTTCTCCTATCTTTTTTTCTTTCTTAAAATTTTATAGTTTTAGCTGAAACATTAAGGTTTGTGGTCCAGTTTGAGTTAATTCTTTTAATGTATGGTTTGAGGTCAAGATGTAGGTTTTTGTGTTTTTACTTCCAGCATGTGGATATTCAGTTACTTCAGCATCATTTGTTGAAAAGACTTCTCTTTTCCCATCAAATTGCCTCTGTACCTTCATCGGCGATCAGTTGACGGTAAATTTCTGCACGCCGTTGCCCTGCTGTCCCTTGCTCCAGTCACACAGGTGGCCGGTCCCCAGCCGAGGGCTGGAGCAAGCGTCAGGACACCTGGCTGGAGCCCTGCAGGAGAAGGGTGCCGTTGCCGGGGGAAGCCTGGGGCGCACAGGGTCCCCGCAGGAGCGCCTGGCCGTGGGCTGCTGCTCCACGGCTGGCTGCGCCTCCTCCTGGGTGACTCGCGTGTCTTTCCGGCCCTGTGTGTCTTTGTGGCCCTGCCCTGGTGTGTGAGGGAGGTCACGGTAGGGATAGGTCTCCCAGGAGGAGTGTCAGGAGGGGCCGCCAGCCACCTGACCCACGAGCCCCTCAGTTGGATGTGAAATGCGCCCTGGACCTGAACCTTTTGTGTATCAGGTGCGTGTCCTTCCAGACCATTTTCTCCTCCTGTATCTCATCGGAGGGACTTCCCTAGTAGCTCAGACGGTAAGGAATCTGTAACACAGGAGACCCGGGTTTGATCCCTGGGTCCAGAAGATCCCCTGGAAAAGGGAATGGCTACCTACTCCAGTATTCTTGCCTGGAGAATTTCAGGGACA